CTCGACTCGTTTGGAATAAGCTCTTTCGCTAGCGGAAGAGCGGAGGCGAAGTTGCTGCTGCTTCTGAACTGAAGCCAGAGAGGAATGAGTATGTATCACAACTGCATATACAGCATATTTATGCGCTGTTAGAGCTCATATTTCTCTGTTTAGCGGGACTCAAAGTATAAAACCTGCACATTCGGAGCTGCAGCGGCGCTAACTCGCCAACGTTAAACCAGCTGGACAGATGAGGCTAAGCTAAGCTAACGCTAGCGGACTGTTTACGGAGCTGCTAACTGGACACTTCTGATCAAAAAGTGATCGATACACCTGATTTAAGCGGTGAAATGTGGGTTTATCGATGAGATCGGCAGCTGCTGCAGTTCCCTGCTCGGTCTGTAACTGTTCAAAACTTTTAAACGGCCAGTTTAGCGTTAGAGGAGCGGCGTTAGCTCAGCTGTTGGTGAGCAGGGAACGCGATTCTTTGTGTTATGATCTTATGCCTGTAATGTTGTGATGTTAATGTGGATAATATTTGATGGCAGGTTGGTGTAGCCGTGTTTAGCGTCTTTGCTCACTTTAACTAGAACTTTAAACCCAAACCAAGCCAGCTGAACAGCTCAATAACAGCCCTGACTGCATTCAAACCAGCTGATGTGAAAGAACTTAGTTACTGTGTTTGTGGAAGTGTCGAAGCTCATTCCCGCCACTTCAGATACAAAATACAGCAACTGACTGTTATTCTTTCATTATTTACGGAATGTTATGCCATTATTTAGGGACAATAAGACATTATTTTGCAATACCACGTCATTGTTTTGCAGTGCTACTGAGATACTATCTCATTAAGATATCTCATTATTTATTTTGATATCCTGTCTCATTATTTTGAGATCTTGTCTCATTATTTTGAGATCTTGTCTCATTATTTTGATATCCTGTCTCATTATTTTGAGATCTTATCTCATTATTTTGATATCCTATCTCATTATTTTGAGATCCTATCTCTTTATTTTGAAATCCAATCTCATTATTTTGAGATCCTATCTCATTATTTTGAGATCTTATCTCATTATTTTGAGATTCTGTCTCATTATTTTTGAAATCCTGTCTTATTTTAAGATACTATCTTACTATTCTGAAATGCTAAATCATTACGTTGAGATATTAAGTCATTATTCTGAGATCCTGTCTCATTATTTTAAGTAATTCTTTTGAAATGCTGTATCATTAAATTGAGATTTTATTTTGTGAAACAAACTCGATATTTTGAGATGAACAAAATTTGGTTTCGGTTCATTTAAACCACTCTAACAAATATTTGGGCAATACTAATGTTTTAAATATGGAACCTCCACATTTCTGCCTCGAACTGAAAATCAAAGATTACCTCCTGTCGCTTGTGAACAGTTCAGTCAAAAGTGGCGCCAGTATAAAAGTCCCCCCACAGGAGCATTAACTGGTTACCTGTGACAGAATCACAGACTCAGTTAGCTGTAACACTGGCTGGAAAGGTTTGCTGAGTTGATGCGTAATGAATGATTCCAAGAGACGGTGCCAAACAGACACGCCAGTTAGACTGTTTTATGTCAGTTAAGCACAGGTTTGTATGGAAGCCCAGTTCAGCCACGTTAAGTAAAAATTCAGCACCTAACTTTGAATCTTTAGTACTATCAGGTGAATTGCTATTCCTTTATGCTGCGATACTAAATGATTACTTTGAGATATTATCTCACTATTTAGAGAAAAGTTATTGTTATATTTGTTGTTTACATGTATATAAAGTATACACAGCAAATGTAGAAGTAAAAAGCATATAAAGTTAACGTCAGGAGGCACAACCAAAAACAAAGGATCACAAAGTTGACCTTCATGGTGCATCGCCAAGGTCACATTTAGTAAGAGTGTGATGTTTGAGTCGCGGTTAGAACGGTTCAGTTAACCACGTCAGGTGGTCTGACCTCAGGAGAACCATGAAAATATGGAATTATTAGAATGTTTATTTATTTGAAAAAATGTGAGTAGAAACTCAAGTCGAAGGACAAAGGTTTCTACAGGTGTCTAAGCAGATGCCTGTTTAATTTGAAACCAGTCAGTCAGATGAATACAATGGAACATACATATCGCTGCTGTTGGAAGAAAACCTTGTAGCTCCATTGTTGTGGTTTTTTAAGTTTTTGACATTATTTGAAAATGCCTGTTGCTCTTTATAGTGTTTGTAAATTTCATGATGATAATTACACTGGTAGATTATCACAGATTTAGCTGTGAATGATGTTTTGTCTTTTTTTTGTTTGTAGTATCTCAAAAGAATGACTTGTTTTCCTCACGTTGACTTCCTGTGTCAGTAATGAGTTTTGACGCACTCTGCTAAAATATTGGCTTATTATTCTAAAACGGTGACCTACTTCCTTGAAATGTAACAGCTGGAGGCTTTAAAAATGATTTGATATTTAATGATGATAAAAAAAGTAACAATAATTAAATATTTTGACTTAGTTGAGTTAAAAACTCAGTCTAAGTCATTATTTTGAGAAAGCAGGTTTATTTCTAGATGCTGAGTCAAAAATTTAAGTGAATTAGTAATTATTTTAAAATATTAAGGCAACATTTAGAGACAGTAAGTATTTATTTTGGGACACCAAGTCAGTTTTTTGATACACGTCGAACAGAAAACAGAAACCATCACTGATTGTTTTCTCCTCCATGTGGCAGGAATAGGCTTAGACAGTAAGATGACCAGAAGAACGTTCTCCTGGAGCCAGTTTGGCTGCCTGAAGGCGTCTGGTGTACGTTGTGCCCAGCGTTCTGCTACATGTACACGCGCTCGTACTGCTCGTATGAGTGGGTTGGTGTGGAAAACTATCTGCGAGTTCCGTGTTGTCGTGACATGCCTTGGCTTGTTAGATAAGTAAGAGTTGGCAGCAGGAGGGCGGGGGGGGTGTCACCCTGGACCCCACCCTTCAGGGCGGCCTACAGTAAGAAAACCAGGCTGTTGTGCCGTGACTGTCCTGTAAACCGGCAGAAAACAGCTAAATCAGCAGCACAGAAGAGAAAAAATAACTGCTTTCACTCACTTTTCGTTCTCTGTGTCAACCCACAGTTTCAGCTCCGAGGGGACACGGCCGTCAGAACGAGGGAGAAAGAGAGTGAGAGAAAGACCATGAATAAAGTGAGAAGTGTGAGAGGGAAGATGAAGACAGCTGAGACAAAAGCTGTGTCCCAATTCAAGGGCCGCATCCCTCGAAGGACGCGGTCTATGAAGGCTGTGTAGACCCGCGAAGGCCGAACCGGAATGATACGGTCGGCTCCATGGCGGATTTCCTGTTTGTGTCACAGCACCGCTGTTCCTGCCCTCACCACAGCGTCACAAAATGCCGCTCCTGTCAATTTCTTTTGAAGTTCTTTAAAGAAGGAGAAACTTTGATCTTAGTTTTTTATTTATTCGTTTATCAGAGCTGGAGCCGCGTCTCTCTGTCGGCTCTTTGCTCCCTGAAACAAAACAAAACCAAACGTCAGTGTGAGTTTTGCTTCAGGCCACATCGGCTTTTTCAAACATTTGTATTGTTCGCAGTTCGACTTTAAACCCAGTACTTACATTTAAAGTGTCTCTTCAGCCGCCGTTCGCTCCTCTGCTGACGCCGCTGTGTTCTCGAATCCTCGCCGGCGCGCAGTGAACCTCGGGATACTTTGGCTGGTGAAGGATCCACCCGTTGGATCCTTGGTTGCCATGGAACAGAAGGACACGTTTCTCGGCCGCATATGAAGGAACCTTCGAAATCGGACAGTCTAGTCGCGCCGCTGTGATGCAGTCGGCCTTCAAATGCAGCCTGAAGGACGCAGCTCCTGAATTGGGACGCAGAAGAGGAAATGGACAGCGAGAGGTAGCAGGATGGTAGGCTTGGCTACAACAAGGGAAACAGTCAGAGCGCCCCCTGCTGTTGCTATTCAACATGTCTGTTAACAGTGAATTAGAGGTCTGTGCAGTATAACTCGCCGTGTCGCCCCCCCCTGTAAAGGTTTGCGGTGGACCGTTTTTTTTTTTTTTTTTTTGTAGCTCCTGCTCCCGCCCGCAATCCTGTATAGCTGGTTTCCAGCTGTGTTAGTCACGATTGAAAATGACTGATAACTTTGATGAGCATCTTTAGCTCAACAGCTAGTAATTAATTCTTGATTGTTTTATTCTTGTGTCTATAATGTGGTGTAATATTTAATGACAAGTTGATGTAAACTTGTTTGGGGCCTTTGCTCACTTCAGTTACACTCTTAAAAAAGATAATTCTTCAAGGGTTCTTTTGTAAAGAAAATGGTTCTGTATAGAACCATGAACACTCAAAGAACCCTTTGCATGATTAAAGCGTTTTTCAGATTGATAGAGAATGTACTGTAGATGGTTCTGTATAGAACCTTTTTGAAAAGAGTTCTTTTTAGCACCCAAAAGCGTTCTTCTATTGTTACGGTGTCAAGTTTGTCACAGTAGAACACTTTTAGGTGCTATATAGAACTCTTTTTAAAACCGATTCTATATAGAACCGTCTAAAGCTTATTCATGCATGTTTTTCCATCAGTCTGGAGAACCCCTTCATGATGCAAAAATGCATTCAGTCACGCAAAGGGTTGTTTAAGTGTTCATGGTTCTATGTAGAGCCATTTCCTTTACTAAAGAACCCTTAAAGCAACATCTTTTTGAGAGTGTAGGATTACACCCAACCCAAGTCAGTCCCAAACTGTGTTCAGTTTGATTAAACTCAGCGCTTCTTTTGCAGACAAGCTTGTGTGGAGTGATGTTCCTGCTAAGAAGCTGAGACACTTCAAGAACATGCAAGAACATGAGCTCGTCAGAAGACTGCCACTCCTTACGACACCGAAAGAATCCTGAGAGAACATGCCGGGTCATCGCTGAGGTCCGACCAGAATTGAAAAGGCCTGCTTCCAAACGGACAGGTTCCACTACGGACAACTCCAAAGAAGCTCCTGCACCTCCTGATCCCGGTCCTGCCAGTGCAGATGGACCCCTTCCAAAGAAAAAAACGAGAGGAAAGGTAAAGAAGTTTGTCCTTCAGCAAACTGGAGCTGAACCAGCTGTGCCTTCACACTCGGCCACTCACACTGCTGTGAATGGACGTTTATCTCCAAGCTCGAATGGCGTTGGACCAGCAGTGCCTCAACAAACCACAGCGTGTCTTCAGAAGATGACAAGACCTCAAAGGGGAAGAAGAAGGAAAGGAGAGCCACCTCCTGAGCAGGGAGACGGCTCAAATGTAGGTGCTAATGGGCCGTCATTAGAAAGACTGGACAGTGGCCCCGCTGCCCGTTCGGCAGAGACTGAGGAAACCCCCCGGAGAAAAGCCAGAGTTAGACGGGGTCGGAGCACTGAACGAACTGCTGAGCTCCGGAGCCCAACAGAAACCTCCGCTGCCGTTCACTCACATGCTACACTATGTTCTAGTCCTCAGCAGGATGCTTCTCCTTTACCCAGTGATCTCAGCCCCGGCCCCAGTACACCCAAACCCCGCCGGGGCCGGCCTGGTCCCATGCTCAGCTCCACGCCTCTGGGCACTGCGTGCCTTTCCCGAAAGCCTCCAGACACAGGAGAGACTACGAGCCCGCAAAGCCACACTGCAAATGGCCATCGGAAGGAACCAAAGCCAAGTCCAGTGAAGGTCCGTATTAAAGCCAGTGTCAGCATGGTTTCAAATGTTTCAGATTTTTATTTTGATACTAAAAATATGCCAAGATAAAAGGATTTGCTAGTGTTATATTAAAAAATATATGTATTTAAATGGATACAGTTTAATGGAGCAAGAAGCCACATAAGCCTCCGGGTACTCCGGTTTCCTCCCAAGTCTTATTTAGCACCAATCCAGCGGCGCCCTCTTCTCACACTGGGGCTGAATCTCAAACAGCTCCCTGCTCCCTACATAGTGCACTACGCAGGAGTTTAAATACTGGACCCTGCAGCCTGACAGTGAATAATATACTCAGACGCATCCACACTCAATAAATGATGCAGTGTTTGGCTGTATAGGCTAGAATTTCAGAACCTCTAGCGAGAACACTATTTAGGGAGTACAGAGCCGTTTGGGATTCAGCCTGAGTTTGACGCGAGTTCTGACTGAAACACGAACATTTGAAGAGTGTAAAACATTCAAGTGACATTCTTTAGACTTTCATACTGCAGTTTTACAGTGAATCACACTGTAAGTACTTTAATTCAAGCCTGTGATATTAATGATGGGGCTGTTTAGGCTGTTGGCTCTTTTAGCCTGTTAGCTAGCTGACCAGCCCAGTTCTAATTAAGAACATAAGCTGTCAGCTCCTCAGTTTAAACAGAACCGGGTTCTTACTTCATCAGTTCACTCGGTGCTCCATGTGAGCAGCATTACATTCAAAGATTATTCATTAACAGCACCAGGGTTTTTCAGGCTGTGGCGTAGTGATACACAGTTCAGGTGCGAGGCGGTCGATGTGCGTGTATCGCGTATGTCACAACGGCTTTGAACACAGCTCAACCAATCAGATTTCAGGACAGGAACTATCCGTTTTATAATAGTAGATAAAATGCTCCAGAACTGTGGCGCTGCTGCTCATAACTGTGTGCGTCAGGACAACAAGCTGTTTGATGGTCATTTTAGAGTCACGTTTTACAGATAATGTTTGAGAACTCATCTTACGATGGACGGGTTGCAGCCACACCGTATGTGATATTTGAACAGTCAGCGCTACTGTAACCGATACCTACCTAGCTAACTGCAGGACGGTGCTTCTGAATCCCATAATGAGTTGGCACAGCCATATTTCTGGACACGGTGGAGACATTTCTCGTGTGCCTTACTGTGCATCGTGCCTGCAAAGTATGTTAAATTTGTGAGGAAACTCAGAGAGCCTTGAGCCTTGCTGCTGTCAGATCAAAACCTCGTATCTCCAAAATAGTAACTTTACAGGAGACGGAAAAACATTCTTTGCTTTTACTGTAAGTAGATGAAACCAGACTTTTTTCCAAGTACTTTTGGGCCGTTTCTTTTGGTCCCTTCGACATGAAATTTACGCACAATGTAAAGAACAACGGGCATTTGCAAATTGTCAAAAACTGAGAAAGGCAAAAATGGAGATATGAGGTTTTGTTCCGACAGCAGTGATATATCTCTGCTGTAATGTTCTTCTGTGGTACTTTTTCCAACCAGAGAAGTCCGTCAGATGTTCCTGCACGAAAGACAACGAGATCCCGCAAGCCTCGAGCTCCAGACAAGAGCATAACTCAGCAGAAGGAGAAGAGGAAGAAGAAAGAGCAGGAGGTGTGTGATGGACCGCCAGTCAAACGTCAGAGGAAGAAGGGAGGGACAAAGGCGAAGCCACAGGACCAGCCAGCCCACCGGGTCAGACCACGCTTCGAGCTCCACGATTCTGAGCTCCAGGAACCTGAGCTCCAGGAACCTGAGCTCCAGGAGACAGGTTAGCTCACCAGCAGCACTAGGCTGACCGATGTGAAGCCAAAATACCTTATCACAGTAAATATCAGGGATGCCTTTTTTTCTGCCTTTTTTGTTTTATAATCACTGGCTAAGATTTTTGCCAATCCGATTAAATACTATCTGATTATAGATGAAGACTGAGGTGTTTATTCTCACTCTACTCAGCAATCTGATGAAAATCTCCGTTTACATGCTCACTACAAGTAATCAGATCCAAAATGACGTGCATGAGCAAAGAACCGCTTAGTGTAGACGTTACCGTGGCAACCAGCATCACGTGAGTCCAGTCAGAGTGAGATGAGCAGCAGTGAGCAGCGCTTGTGTTTTTAATGACTTTAAAATGATGTCAGACTCAGGAAAACGTCCTTCACATGTCCTTATTAAAGAAGGCCGAGAGGAAGACGTCGTGTTCTGAGACACATAAGCTGGACGTCCGTCCCACCGCCGTCTTTTAAAGATCAGAGCATAAACTTCGTCTCCTCTGCAGACCAGTTTCTGCTCCGCCATGTTGAACGGTATAAACTCTCACTATGACGCGACGAACATGATCAGAACGGACTTAAACTTTCCGATAGGGAATGTAATCAGATACAGGCGTTTACACGGATATTATTCTTCTATTTAACGGATTATTTACAGGATTACCCACCTCGATCAGTCAGATAGAAACTGTATTCCGAATGGCCTCAATCAGACTAGACTATTCCGACTGAGGTGTAAACATGGACGTGTTCTATTCCGATTGAGCTATTAGTCGGATTATAAACGGATTATTAGGCTGCATGTAAACATAGCTACTGATCTTTCTAATCAAACACTTAGCAAATAATCTGAATGATAAAGAAAATGAGAAACTTTGTTTCTCAGCAGGGACCATATTGCAGAAATTTCATATTCATATAGAAGGTTTCTTACACATAGACGACTCAGTATGCTTTACATGAATAAACGCAAAAGGAACGTCAAAAGGAAACATGAAGACAAACTGCTTTTAGAGGGACAGCACAAAAAAAATCTTTAAAAAACAAAAGAAAATACAAAATACGTAAAGCAAATTTTCTTTTTCACAAATTCATTCTACAGAGGTAAATCTTTATTTGGGAATTTTATCTTACCTTACGACATCTGATCTCCAGTTAGGAAATCTTAGCCTGCTCAAACAAAGTCAACATTCAAATGTCATGTCTCACCAAGCAACCGGCCATAGGAGCACAGCTGAAATGTAATCGAAATTATGTTAAAAATGTAAGTTACAGCTGCTGTTACCAATGAAAAAATACTAAAAAAACCTAATTGAAGTTGTCATGGCAACTAGCTACAAGGTAATATGTTAGCACCACACTAATCATAAGCTAACATGCTAGCAAATATATATATATTTTATAGATTTAGACGAAACTAAATATATATATATATATATGTGTGTGTGTGTAAATAAGGATCTTATATGATTTATAAAAGAATGTATTTTAGATTATTTAGGTAACTAACTCTGCTAACTGAAAATAGGTAACAACTGACTGTCTTATTGGTTTGTGCTGTTGCGAGTGAACGGCTAGACTTTTCACTCCTTGTTTAGCGAGCAAGACACACAGCACCACCTAGTGTTCTGAAACAGGAACTGTTCAAAGTTCAGACTCTCTCTGCTAATACTGGATTGAGGAGCAAAATTTTTCTTAATAATAATTGTTGTTGGCTGTTATTGTTGTTTATCACCCAGACTTAGTCCTTCGCCACCTTTTTTATTCTGGGTTCACCTCAACCTGGTGAAATGATGGTCTTGTAGCGGTGAAATGATGGTCTTGTAGCGGTGAAATGATGGTCTTGTAGCGGTGAAATGAAGGTCTTGTAGCGGTGAAATGATTGTCTTGTAGCGGTGAAATGATGGTCTTGTAGCGGTGAAATGATGGTCTTGTAGCGGTGAAATGATGGTCTTGTAGCTGTGAAATGATTGTCTTGTAGCAGTCGGTTGGTGCAGTGTTGTGATTATGGTGTGTTTTGACCTGCAGAGCAGAACTTGTCCTCTGACCTGTCCATCGAGCTGAGCCTGATGGAGGAGCCGGAAATGATCAACCACTCTCTGTCCCTTCAGGAGGATGAGGAGGAGGATGAAGAGGAGCTGCCCAGTTTCTTAGAACAGACCAATAACCGTGAGATTATTACCATTAAATGTGTTAGATTATTGTTCTTTTTTGTGAGCTTATTAAATAAAAGCGTGGTGTTTTTTCTGTTGCAGAGCCTTCCTCAATCAGAGAGGGGCTGTGTGTGTGGTGTAAACTCAGGAAATATCCTTTTTGGCCTGCCATAGTGAGTAACTCTGCTCTCACATTAGCCAAGTTCAAGTAATGTGGCCTTCAGTATAATTATAGACTGCAAAGATTAGTTGATTATGAAATAATGTTTGTGCTGTAATGCTCTGTAAAGTTCATACGATCCATACAGGCATTCTGACAGTCTAGAACAGGGGTTCTCAACCTTTTCCATCTCAAGGCCCACCTGTGTATAACTATAAAGCACAGTGGCCTACAGAAAAGGATGTGCATATTATATAGATTTAGACGAAACAACATATATGTAAATAAGGATCTTATATGATATATAAAAGAATATTTATTAGATTATGTAGGCAGCTAACTCTGCTCATTGTCCTGTTGGTTTGTGCTGTTGCGAGTGAACGGCTAGACTCATTCCTTGTTTAGAGAGCAAGACACACAGCACCACCTAGTTAGTAGCAATGGTTCAAAGTTCAGGCTCTCTCTGCTCTGTTTGGTGTCGAGATCTCTCTTTAGGTTTGAGGCTTTTAGCGCCTAATTTGATTAAACCTCACTAACCTCAGGGGGCTTCTGGACTACCGTCGCCACAATCTTCAATAATAATAAACTTTACTTGATATCTGCGTCTTAGGTCGCTGATGCTAGGCCAGAATTCAAACGCAGATCTTCGCTGTTATTTTAAGGCTCGTCTGTCGTTTTTATCAGCTGCAGGAACGATATGAGGACAATGAGAGTCTGTAAAGAGTCAGACGCTAAACAGGCAGATTATGCTGACAAGACAGCTTGAGAAACCCTGGTCTATAATACACTCCAGGAGGGTTAAGAGGCCTGCAGGTCGAGTATGTTGATCGATTCTTTTCTGTTTGAATGGTTGATGGTGACTGTGCGCTCTGCAGGTTAAAAGCGTGAACCACAAGAATAAAAAAGCCAGCATTGTGTTCATCGATGGATGTCTGTTTAATAAGAAGACGATCAGAAAAGGGTGAGTCTCCAGCGTGTTATAGTGGGACTGGCTGTAAAGTAGGGGTGGGGAACTGAGGGCTGGAGTCCAGCACTGTTTGGTGATTTTCCTGACCTAGTAACGCCACCCATACCGGGGAATTAACGATGATGCATCAGGTGTGCCTGAGCAGGAACATCACCGAACAGTGCGGTTCCCCACCCCTGCTGGATTGGGGTTAGTGCTGAAATGGGGGTTAGTGCTGAAATGGGGGTTAGTGCTGGGTGGGGGTTAGTGCTGGGTGGGGGTTAGTGCTGAAATGGGGGTTAGTGCTGAAATGGGGGTTAGTGCTGGATGGGGGTTAGTGCTGAATGGGGGTTAGTGCTGAAATGGGGGTTAGTGCTGGGTGGGGGTTAGTGCTGGATGGGGGTTAGTGCTGAAATGGGGGTTAGTGCTGAAATGGGGGTTAGTGCTGGGTGGGGGTTAGTGCTGGATGGGGGTTAGTGCTGGGTGGGGGTTAGTGCTGGATGGGGGTTAGTGCTGGGTGGGGATTAGTGCTGAAATGGGGGTTAGTGCTGAAATGGGGGTTAGTGCTGGGTGGGGGTTAGTGCTGGGTGGGGGTTAGTGCTGGATGGGGGTTAGTGCTGAAATGGGGGTTAGTGCTGAAATGGGGGTTAGTGCAGGGTGGGGGTTAGTGCTGGATGGGGGTTAGTGCTGGATGGGGGTTAGTGCTGGATGGGGTTAGTGCTGGATGGGGGTTAGTGCTGGATGGGGTTAGTGCTGCTTTGTGTTCCTGCGTGAGTTAAGCAGTAAAGTGAACCCTTATTTTTGTTCTTTCCTGAAGCTTAACTGTGTCTTTGAGGACGCTGAAGCCGTTTGACTGCAAGGAATATGATCAGTTTGTGGTAAGCCTTGTTTTTAAGACATTTAGAAGAGTTAGGCCAGCTTCTTTAACTACACGTCCTTGTATCTACACTAACTGTCCACTTTATCAGCTCCACTGACCATATAGTTTCACTCTGTATTGTATTTGAATTAGCAGGTCAATGTATGTGTGTATATATAGTCACTGTTGGAACCAAAACAAAACTTTTTCACATTTTTCTGCACATTTTAGTACACAGTTTTATTTATTTGCTAAGTTTAACATTTTTAAAACATAGAATATGACAGATTTTCACATTATTGTATTTTTATGTACAGGTATTTTATTATGTGAGTAATTTGTGTTTGTTTTTTTCAGGATATTGCCAAAGAGAAGTACGGGGCTTCCTTTACCTGGTGTCTGGAGCTCATTTCGGACTACAGAATCCGCATCGGTACTTCTGACCATTACATGCACTTCTCATTCCGTCCACACCTAGCAGTGGGCTACATGTGCTGGACATCACCCAAACTGACCAAACTTTCATCTCTGCCCACAGGATGTGGCTCTTTTGCTGGTTCCTTCATTGAATACCTCGCTGATGATATCAGTAAGTTCTTTATTCTTAAGCCCATTTTACACCCGACACGCTAACCGCGCTGAATGACGCGCCACGCTGTGTCGCCCCCAGTACACTCCTATTTTAATCAGTGTAGCCTTTCACACTGGCCACATAGCACCACAGCGGTGACGCCCGCCTGAAGCGCAGAAACACACTTTGGGTCTATTTTTGACTCAGGCTGGCAGTTTCTAGGCAGAAACAGTAAAGAAATGCAACGTTTATGCTACAATATACAGTCTAGGCTAATAAACAAATAAACAAATGTGGTTTTAACTCTTTGTGAGGGTTTTTTTCACATGTAGTTCTCTTTAAATGAACCGAACCAAGTTCTGTTAAAGTGAACCTGAATGGGAACCCACTGCTTTTTGTGTTCACAGTGAGCGTGTTTTACATGCACTCAATAAACCACTCATAATCAGATTTCTGCAGTTATCTGATTATTCGAATGGTCGTATAAACAGCACACTCTGATTTCTTTCAGATTTCTCAGTCTGAGCATGTGTGAAAACAGAATGTGGTACTGGAAATAAGTGAGCAGTGTCGCTTCAAAAGTGTTTTGCTGCCTCTCACGGCGACGCTGCTCACTTATTTCCAGTACTGCGTTTTCACACATGCTCAGACTGAGAAATCCGAAAGAAATCAGAGTTTGAAGGCTCTTTCAGTGTTGGCGTTGGACTCCGCCAAGGTTGTGCCTTGTCTCCACTCCTATTCATGATATTCACGGACAGGGTGTTGGGGCGTAGCCGAGGTCAGGAGGGCATTATGTGTGGAGGCCGGATGGTGGCGTCTCTGCTATTTGCAGATGATGATGCCCTCTTGGCTGGATCGCATGGATGCCTCCAGCGCTCAGAGGTGTGAAGCGCTTGGTATGCGGATCAGCACCTCCAAGTCCGAGTCCATGGTCCTAGCCCAGAAAAGGATGGCATGCCCACTCCAGGTAAGGGGAGAGGACCTGCCCCCGGTGGAGGAGTTTAAGTATCTCGGGGTCTTGTTCATGAGTGATGGGAAGAGGGATGGTGGGATCGGCCGCAGGCTGGGACAGGCGGCAGCAGTAATGCGGTCACTGTACCGGACTGTAGTGGTGAAGAGGGAGCTCAGCCATAAGGCAAAGCTCTCTATTTACCGGTCAGTCTACATCCCACCCTCACCTGTGGTCATGAGCTGTGGGTAAGGACCGAAAGAATGAGATCACGAATACGAGCTGTGGAAATGAGCCTCTTCGCAGCTTGGCGGGCTACACTGTACTGACAGGGTGAGGAGCTCGGCCATCTGGGAGGAGCTCGGAGTAGAGCTGCTGCTCCTCTGCATTGAGAGGAGCCAGTTGAGGTGGTTCGAGCGTCTGATCCGGATGCCCCCTGGACACCTCCTGGTGGGGGTGTACCAGGCACGGCCTACAGGAACAAGACCCCGGGGTCGTCCTAGGACCCGCTGGACAGATTATATCTCCAAGTTGGCCTGGGAGCGGCTTGGGGTCCCCTGGAATGAGCTGGAGGAAGTTGCGGGGAACAGGGTTGTCTGGGATTCTCTGCTCTCCCAACTGCTACCCCAACCCTATCTGGACTAAGAGGTTGATGATGATGAATAAATGAATGATTTGTATTACGTGAAATGCAACGCAACTAATAAGCGTCGTGGAGTTTTACCATATTACTCCTCGCGCTGTGTGGCGTCTGGTGTGAACTGGCCTTTAGCCACTGTAAGACATTAGACGGGCACTAGCTGCACCCACAAGCTGTAGTAGAGTTTAAACTGGCCACACTGCGCCGCCACTGCAGGCTTACCTGGTTCTCTAATATCACTAAAAACTGGAGCTGAGAGACTAACGTAGCTGGCAAGTGTATGGACCAACTAGCACGGTTCTAATTGCAGTGGAGAACCCTTTGCAGGTAAGATTGGTGACCCTGGTCAAGCTGCGGCTGATTTCTCACATGTTAAATAGCTCCTTCACTTATTATTCAAATATTGATCTTAAGACGTATAATTCAGTAACGACTTTAAATGATTCCATAACTGCAATAAATTATTCACTAACTATGGTGAATTATTGAATAATCAGAGTCTTCAACTTTGAATTGTTCAGGATATACTATTAATTATGCTGGAACTGCTGTAAGTTATTCTGTATCTGTGAATTATTAAGTACTCACTGAATTATTCAGTATCTGAATTATTACATACTCGTGAATTATTCAGTGTGTATAAATTAAGTACTCACTTAATTATTCAGTGTCTGAGTTATTCAATATCTATAAATTATTCCGTACTAACTGTGAATTATTCAGTACTCACTGAATTATTCAATACTAACTGTGAATTATTCAGTATCTATGAATTATAAAGTACTCACTGTGAATTATTCAGTACTCACTGAATTATTCAATACTAACTGTGAATTATTCAGTATCTATGAATTATAAAGTACTCACTGTGAATTATTCAGTACTCACTGAATTATTCAGTACTAACTGTGAATTGTTCAGTATCTATGAATTATTCAGTATCCATGAATTATTCAGTACTCACTGAATTATTGCATATCTATGAATTATTCAGTACTCACTGTGAATTATTCAGTAGCTGTGATTAATTCAGTGTCTACTATGAATTATTCAGTATTTACTAAAAATGATTAAGGAAATACTATGAATTATTTAGTAATTACTATACATTTTTCAGATGTACATCAAATTCATGAATCAATCACTATCTTCTATGTAGATTATTAAGTAGTATAACTGTATTGCTTATTCAGTAGGTGCTATGACGTGTTTAGTGACTGTTATGAATTATTCAGTAAGTACTATAAATTATCCAATATTTACCATAAATTATTCCATAACTGCTATGAATTATTTAGTACATACTATAGATTATTTAGCATTTACCTTGCATTACTCATTACTATTATGAATAATTCAGTATTCATTATGAATAATTCAGTATCTGCTGTGAAGCCGATGTGTAAGCTCTGTAGTTCTGACAATGAGTAACTGAGCTGCGGAACCGCAGACAGACCCTGTGGACCTCAAGTCAAAATATACCTTTTTTAAAGTCTTCGCCTGATTGGCTGTGGTGCTGCGTTGTGATTGGCAGGTTGCCCTGTGAGGATGCGGTACCCCGAGGGGTCGTCTGAGCTGGCCTTTCCCAGCCAGCAGCTGCTGAGCGAGGAGCAGGACGGCGAGGGCGAACGGGCAGAAGAACCCGACGAGGAGCAGAGCAGACAGCCCGATGAAGGACACTCAAAAAAGCTTCTGCCCGACCGAGCGCTGGCCGCCCGCAACCGTGCCAACGAGAGGCTGGTGGACTTCATAGTGAAGAAACGTGGAGCGGAGAATCGCTTAAAGGTACAGTCAGCTGAAAACTTAAACTAAAAATAATTCATAATTAAGTCACTTTTTCAACCAGCAGCACTACACATTATTGAGTGTGTTAATATTCACGCCAATAATACGATCGTTATTATTCAGGTAGGTGGTGAACGGCATCCTGAGCTTTCTTAGATCAGATTAAAATCGTTATCTGATTTCAAGAAATCTGAAAAAAGCCTAGATTTTAGTTCAGTAGTCAGGTTTTTAACTACATAAGTGCCCTTTCTCTGATTTTGAGCTAAAAACCAGGTGACTTCTTAAGAACAGTAATTTTATACAACAGTTAGTTCCGGCCACGCAAGCAACGACTGTGACAGCTGTAGGAGACGCTCAAGCCATTTAAACGTTTTTACTTCTTACTTTGCCACAAACAGAAAATGGACACTTTTAAGATCACATTTGACCGACAGCCGATTTGGTCAGACTCTGAAGATGAGACGACACTAAATTCCCAAACTGTGATCACCACTGAGCAGCTTTTCAGTCGGCAGCTGAGACAGAAGAACAGCTAAACAACCTGGAATCAGCCAGAAATGAACCCAACACCATTCGCCAAACGTGTAGTCTGATCTTCAGAGTCTGACCAAATCAGACTGAGCCATAAAACTGCCGCAATATCAAGTTCAGCTCAGTTTTGTCAGTTTTTGCCAGATCAGTATTAATGTTGTTTTGTTCCAGCCAGTCTGTAAAGCATCTTACAGCCCGTTTAGTTTGGCGAATGGTGTTGACTACTGACTACTGAACTAAAACCTATTGGTAAGGAGCTGGAGAACTAACTGCCGGCTGTGCAGCGAGTGGGCGGAGCTCGTTACTCCGACATAACAACAAGCTGCTCGTTAAGGAACTATAATTTGGTGAAGGAACTGCGAACATTAAAACATATTAAACGCCGCGTTCACGGCCCAGTTTATTAATTTATTACTGTATTTATTTAACTGCTGTATTAAAGCAGTAGAACACTCGAGGAGTGTGTTATCGCCAATAACATCACGGCTGTGATGATCTACGGCGACCAAATCACAGCCGTGATGTTATTTCACAATAACACTCCCTCTGTGTTCTACTGCTTAACTAAGGCATTGTTTGGTAAGATATTGAATGTAGACGTTTTCCCACTTACCCCAGATGAAGCTGATCAGCCAGAATATTTGGTGTTCAAATTTTGCTTCTCTCGTTTAGCGTTGGAGCTACGAGGCTAACATTGCTAACGTGTGGCCACTTTGTACTGAATTGTGACTTCCTGTCAGGCATGTCAGTGCTGCAGTTTATGGGTGTGATGTCTGAAGGGCTGTGCAGTGTGACAGTATTCATAGTCATCGCGAGAAACCGTTCCTACGAAGCTCTGCTGATGACTTCCCGTATAAATAAAAATAACGCGTGGCCACGCATAGGAACGAGATCCTAATGTGTGGACATGACTTAATAAGGCGTGAGAACATGATAATTAAGTTGTGGCCACAAGATCATGCCTTATTAAGCTGTGGTCAAGGCTTAATCATCTCATTCTCAGGCCTTACTAAGTCGTGGCCATGCATTAGGATCCCGTCCCCACGCCTTACTAAGTCATGGCCACGACTTAATTATCTCGTTCCCACCCCTTACTAAGTCGTGGCCACACGTTCTGTTTATTTATACGGGGTGTCACCAGCAGGGCTCTGTTTGTTCCTCTAATTCTGCGGCCGGTGGGCAGTATTTTCTGTACAGAGTAAGTGCTGAATTATGAAAACACCACTGTAACAACAGAAAACGCCTTGTTTATAACGTGGGGGGTGCGGATGCGGCTTTGGAAATCGCTTGAGGTCTGAAATTTCTCCAGCAGGGGACGCTGCATGCAAGTCTCCATGAATCTGTCAGAAGAAGGTCATGAATGCACGTGTTTGCAGTAACGTTTATAATGGCAGATTAAATAGTATTTTAAAGATGTTGTGTTTTATTAAAGATTTTCATTAAATCTGTTAATGTTTAAAAAAGCATACAGTCTAAAATAGAACAGAAAGTAGGTCAAAGCTGCAGCGTTTTTGTTTGTTTTTGAACAGGGAGGGACGATTTCATCAATATTGTTTTTTTTTGTACTAGAAAATATTGTGCTAATTATTATTAGACATCGCCCAGGCACTGCATGTTTTATTAGGAAGAGAGAACAGTTAGTTTACCTGGATCTGGTGCAGCTCGGTGAGTTAAATGTATGTGAAATCATTGTATTCAAAGTTGTTGGTAATATTTTTTTAAATGTGCCGCTTCTTTTTTTTTAACCTTACCTTTTTTAACTTATCACACCTCAGAGAAGATGAAATATCGTAATGCGTTGTGTGTCGTGAAAAGTGTCTGTATATCGTGATATTGTTGCCATATCACCCACTCCAGTTCAGAAACATGTTGAAAAGGCATATTTTCGTGCATTTTGAGACTTTGGTCCTGTAGAGGAAGCTGCTGGGGGGTGTGTACAGTAGCGTGTTTGTTTTATTTCTGGATGGTGAACGGTGCTGGTGTGCCGGCCGGCTGCTGCAGTGCCTGCTTGTCTTTAATAACTGACACTGCCAGTTTGTACGGTTGTGTTTGGGCCTGTGCCATCATTCAGGATGGCAAAATGGAAATCAGGTAAGCGGTGGGGGAGGACAACGTTCCTGTTTAGAGACTGAGTTTGCGTGGTGTTGGACATTAGTTTGAATTATAGCTCACATTAGTTTGTGCCGGAGCTCGTGGAGTAAACAAACGTTTTAGAAATGCAGCAGTGCTTTAGCTTTTACCTTCCAGCTGAAGAGGCTCATTTTAAGGAGCAGCTCAGTGAAAAATCAGACTTACACAGTTTACACCTCCTTACAGTGAGACAAAATTCAGGCTGCTTTTATTTTTAGTAAATATTACTGCCGATCACTCTGTAGGCGGAGCACACGGAGAGCTGGCTAGGCCTTATGTTAGGCTAACGGCTAACCCCTAGAGACTGGCTTTTCCTTCCACTTTCTCTTCCCTGTTAACTCATTAACTGGTTATAGTCTGATGTCGCTCCTCTGAACATAAACTAGACTAACTGACCTCAGGCTGTAGCTCAGTACACGAGACGTGAGGGAGTCAGCGAGTTCAGACCTGTTTGTACATCACATTATCTGCATTTATTTGCATATAAGTATAATGATAATGACATGGATACTGGATGAACCGGTACACCACCCACAACTACAGCATGCAATACTTCAGTCCCTGTTTGTAGATACAGTAGATCATACAGTCTCAGAAACCACAAAACCAAGTCTGTTAGAGTCCAGGGGAATTCCACCCATTTTTCAAAAAAATACTTTATTTACTATCCAGAACCACCAGTGAACCTACACGAGTCTTCTGAGTTTATATGGAATGTTGATGATGGAAAATAGTGGAACATCTGAAATAATAAGTTTTCTTTGGGGACTATTTTGCCTCACAGCGCCCTGCATGTATCCCTCCACCATGAATGGAGTTTAAGTTCTCTAAACTATCATAAAACAGTGTCTCAGTCATCAGGCAGTGAATTCATGGCTGAAACAGTAATAAAACAGTGTAGTTCAGTAATTGGGCTACTTAACTAACTCTGTTCAGGCCATATTGTATCAGACGATCCCCGCCCAGCTCTGGTCCACAAAACATCGGCCCATAAAGGAGGCTTGGCCATCTTTAATGACGTACAGAGTGTCTCATTCCTGAAGCTTTCGTATGACATGGAAACCGAGAGGAGATTGGAGCGCAATCGGCTCCAGTGCGTGAAATCAAGCGCCAGCCTACTAGCGTCTCATTAACTTATCATTTACATGAAGCACACCCTAATTCAGCTCATGAGCCAGTGGCTAAGCTCGTAGGTGAAGTGTGAGGTGGAGCGCTGTGCTCCCCCTACTGGCTAATCTTTATAGTGTTAAAATTCCGACCACTGGGAAGAGTAAAATGTGAAATAAACAAAACGCCTTAGTCTTTTTAAAATGATAGAATGAAGTGATTTTGTGTTTACTTTCCTAAAATATCATATTTATACTCTGTATTATTGCAGGGTGGCACTCGCTGTGTTGTGTCATTGTGGGCGGAGTCAGTTGTATAAAACAAAAGCACAGTGTAATATGTATTTAAATGGAGCAGTGGCAGCATTTGTTTATATCAGTATGCATGTAAATTTCGTACATCCACTTCTGTCCTGGGTTGCCATGTGCACAGATTATTAGTATTGCTGTTATTATCTGTTTATATTCTTATTATGAAATGAAAGATTGATTTGATGTAAATAATCACCAGGCAGTGATCAGCGGTCAGGAGCCGTCCAAGTGGCTGCAGGCGCTGCAGAGCTGCAGCCGCTCAGTGGGGGGGCTGTACCTGGAGGATGACAGGCAGGTGGATAAGGTTTACTCCTACCTGAACAAGCTGTGTGAGGCTGCAGTCAAAACCAGCACCGGAGTGGAGAATACGGACCGCATCCGATTCATTCTGGATGTGCTTCTGCCCGAGGTGAGCCGCTGGAGCCCAATGATACGGCCAGCAGTCTGATCACATATCATTTAATAATCGATAATTATCAATAATCAATATATCCATTTTCATAATGCCCAGCCTTAAGTGTGAACATTATTTGTATATATTTAATATATAAATCTCTCTCTCTCTCTCTCTCTCTCTCTCTCTCTCTCTTTCTCCGTCTGTCTTTTTTCTCACACTTCCTCTCTTTTTCTTTTTCTTTGTCTTTCTTTATTCCTTTCTGTCTACCTTTCTTTCTATTTTTCTTTATTTCTCTTTCTCTTTATGTATCTCTCTCCTTCTTCCCCATCTTTCTTTCTTTCTCTCTTCCCCTTCTCTTTCTTTCTTTCTTTCTTTCTTTCTTTCTACTTCCTCATTTCTCACTCTCTCTCTTTATCTGTCTCTCTCTTTTTTCCCCACTCCCCTCTCTTTCTCTTTTTCTTTCTTTCTTTTTTTTCTCTCTTTCTTTATTTCTTTCTCTGTACCTCTCTCTTGCTCTCTCTCTCTTTATCTCTCTCTTTGTCCCCCTCCCTCTCTCTCTCTCTCTCTCTCTCTCCCTCTCTCCCCCTCTCCCTCCCTCCCTCCAGGCTATTATTTATGCCATAGCTGGAGTGGACCGACTGTCTCTGGACAAAGCTGAGGAGAAATATCGGCGAGGGCCGCAACACAGTAACAGGTTGGTCGGCTGCATCATCTGGAGTGCATGATCGAGTCAGTTTATCTGAAAATATGAACATCATCATCTAGAAGACGAAGGATTTTTAAATCCTTTATTTGGTCGAGTGTGTATTCAGTTTCAGCCTCGCTCCAAAAGTGCTGTGTTAAACGCTGCTCGCTGTTTCCGGGACGACGCTCTGTTTTCACACATGCTCAGACTGAGAGAAACGAAAGAAATCAGAGTGAGAGTTTACACTGAGAAACCCCTTTACTGACCCAGATCCAGCCTCTTTATCAGATTTACTAATCAGATGTATAGACCTTAATCTAATCTAAGTAATCAGAGTGTGTGTTTACACAACCGCTTAATAATCAGAGAACTGCAGAAATCCGATAATGATCAGATTATTAAGTGCATGTAAACACACTCACTATCCATATTTACATGCAGCCTGCTAATCCAGTAATAATCTGACTAATAGCTCAATCGGAATAATCTAGTCCAGTTGAGGCCGTTTGGAGTACAGCTTCTGTCCGATTGATCGAGGTGGGTGATCCTGTGAATGATCCGTTAAAGAGAAGAATAATTTCCGTGTAAAAGTCTGTGTCAGAACACAGTAAGCCTGCGTTTTCGTTAATGTTATATGTTTTAGTCTATACTAGCACATCAGCACATACCGAGACATTTTTACAGCCAAGACGGTAAAATGGACACAAACTGTTGTGGCTCCCAAAGTGGTTTGATTTTTGTTGAAAGGACAAAATGGCTCTTCTTAATGTTTGTGTTGCGCCGGCTGAGCTATGGGCCCTTTAACTCAGCCCTTCTCAGTGTTTTGGCTGATCTGTGTAAGTCTGTGTTTCTCTCTGCTCTGTAGAGAACGGGAGGAGTTCGATATGATGATCGAACAGCAGATGAGGGTGAAGGCGATCGCGGCGAAGCCGTCACCGTGATGACGCCCGACTGCTGGAGTTTGTAACAGTGCAGTAATGGACGTTTCTTTGCTCTGCAGCAGAAGCAGCTCTCATGTTCCCTAGAGCTCCTCCTGCTGCACTCACTTCTCTGCACTTACGTTCTTGTTGTAAATCACAATCATGTGACCCCAAAGGTAGATGTTCTCATTAATGTAAAGAGTTATTTTTAATAAAAACAGTCCTGAACCTTTCTGAATTCGTCCGCCATCTGAAATATGAATTCATATTCATTTTTTACTCTGACAGTATGAGAAACGCAGACTCAGAGCTGTCCATGCAGATTGTAAATGTAATTATTATTATCTCAAAAAAGTGCACAATTAGTGCATTTATTAGTGTATTTGGTTTTAAGTGTGTAATGAAATATGTAAATATGTAATTAAAGGGCCCATATCCTACTGTTTTACTTGTATTTTATTTTTTCTTCACTTACGACGTCTCTCGTTACTCTCTTAGAATTAAACAGGCTGTTTTCGTTACTGTGCCTTTAAGACTATGTAAATGAGCTCTGTTCTGATTGGCTGTGCCTCATTCGAAAAGCAGTCCAGGCTTAAACACTCCTTATAACTTAGCGTTAGCGGGTCTAACGGCAAGGATCAGCCTACACTCATAAGATGATTCTTTAGTAAAGACTGGTTCTATAAAGAACTATGAACACTCAAAGAACCATTTGCATGCTTAAGTGGTTCTCTGCATGGTGAAATGGCTCTTGAGACTGATGGAGAATGTGTTGTACGTGGTTCTATATAGCACCAAAAAGGGTTCTGCTATTGTTAGTACCATTTAGAAAAAGGTGCTATATAGAACCATATACAACACGTTCTCCATCAATCTGAAGAACCATCCCTTTAAGAGTGTATGAGTGAATAAATGGATATGATGTACATTTTCTGTATGGACTGGAGAGGAAAACTGTACCGTTTGACACAACAGTGTTTACTAATTGAATTACTTTGCAAACTCTTTTCTTTCAAAGAGTTTTCCAGGATATGGGCCCTTTAATGGGAAATTCCACTGATTTCTCAAAATTCCTGCATAATTAAGTGGTTAGGATGTAAACAGAGCGGTTCAGAGTGGTTTGGTGTGAAACGCTCCGTTCTAGATAAAGTTGCCGAGTCAGAACTGTTCACCGTGGTGGTGATAGGAACCAGACGTCCACCTCTAAAAGCTCCCTCACAGAAAGTTCCTACATGAAATGGTTATGAATTCACTGCCTGATGACTGAGACACTGTTTTATGATAGTTTAGAGAACTTAAACTCCATTCATGGTGGAGGGATACATGCAGGGTGCTGTGAGGCAAAATAGTCCCCAAAGAAAACTTATTATTTCTGATTTTCCACTATTTTCATCATCAACATTCCATATAAACTCAGAAGACTCGTGTAGGTTCACTGGTGGTTCTGGATAGTAAATAAAATGTCTATATTTGTGTTGTAGTCATGGCGACCCCTGGTTCCTATCACCACCACTGTAAAGACATCTGAACCATTTCACACCAAACCACTCTGAGTCACTCTGTTTACACCTCACACACTGAGTTATACAGAGATTTTTGAAAAATTGAGGTCCCCTTTAAGTAGTTGGACCGAGTGCCAGTGCTGTCTCCAGACTTCTGTGGGTTAATAGGCGTTTTTTTGACTAGTACTATCTGCACTACACTGCGTCTAGACTGGTCTGGGATAGTTTTCTTGTCAGAACGTGTTCTTATGGGGGATGTTGACGTGTGCAGCTTTCACCACACTGCAGCCCCGACTGAGCGATAAAATCAGAGTTCGTTCTTTCACCCCTCCTGCTGATACAGGAATGATGTGGCACAAAACACACTTAACCACTCAGATACACTTTCCACACGTTTTAATAAGACACAAGTCCTTCTTTTCTCTGAGACGTAGATATTTAAACTCTGACTTTATTCCAGAGCTTCAGTCTCCTTTAGCACAACCCCCTGAAATACTGCACGGATACAGTGTGATGCTCTTTTTAGGAACTTCACTCCAACTGTCCAGATCAGCAGCTACTCTGATTAGACATTTTATCAGAAACAGCTACCATAAATGTGCATGTTTGGCCATTTTATTAGAAACACTTACCATGTAGGTTCTCTTTTGGCCATTTTATTAGAAACACCTACCATATTGGTGCCCTTTTGGCCACTTTATCAGAAACACCTGCCATATAAGTTCCCTTTTGGCCATTTTATCAGAGACACCTACCATAGAGGTGTCCTTTTGGCCATTTTATCAGAAACGGCTATCATATAGGTTCCTTTTTGGCCATTTTATTAGAAACACCTACCATTACGTGTCCTTCTGGTCATTTTATTAGAAACACCTACCATATAGGTGCAAGTTTGGTCATTTTATCCGAAACGCCCACCATATTGGTAGAATAGTCACTTTAAGAAATATATCACTATAAAAGTCGTCCAAACTGTCACTTTAAAACTCCTCCATCTGTTTAAAACTTACACACAGCTGAACATACCATGAACAAAATTTACCAAAAAAAATCTTTATTTTGAAGCAGAGAAATGACAGTAAACATGGTGCTGTTAGTAACGTCTGCTAAACAGTATCTCTGTTTCAGTCTTTTACAGTCACACCTCTTTATAACCTGCAGTGCAGCATAACTGACACCAGCGGTGCCTCACACAGACACGCCTCTACACTCTACCATTCAGCGCCGCTCAGGTTCACCTTTACGCTCAGTAAGCGGAATTAAACGGTTGGTCTATTAACGCGGAACATCAACTCAAACATCACAGACGATCATAAATTAAGTATTTATATTATTTATGATATAAATCTCACCTTCTTTTTTCTGTGCAAAACAAGCAGAACCGAACACACTGCGTTTATTTATTCATTTAAAATCAGAATCGCACTTTGCGTGGATATCGTTCTGGAAGATTCCACCCTCAACGGGAGTCTGTGTTCAGCTGGACTCAGTGAGGCCCAGCCAAGTCAGCTTCCTCAGTCTGAGAGTCTGGAGTCGCTCCTGTGTTACACTCACACCACAGCTTTGAAGCCATAGTTCAGCCGAAAATCACATTTACACAACATCACCACCTGTAATTTCAAATGCAGTGGATCAGCCAAGATGTGTTTGGCGAACAGAAGAGGCTAACAAGTAAGATTAGCTTGTTTTAGCAATAGTGCTCAGTAGTACTGATTAGGGTTGGGCAATATGACAATATATATCATTATTGTGATAAAATGTCACAATACAGTCTGCTTTTCTGATCATATTGTGTATCGTCAGTGCCTGTAGACACTGACCAACTGCATTTTTCATTATAAAGAGTGAAATTAGGCCCATTTGACTGGATTTAGTGCCAAATACTGAATAAAAATCACTGTGTTCACAGTTTTAATAGTGTTTTAATATAGATTTTTTTCCCAGTTCCTGCTGATTAGATGTCTGAAAAAGTAAATATTGTGAAACAATCTGCATCATGAAAATGTCTTGAAGTATCGCGATATTACAGCATTGCCTTATTGTCCACCTCTAGTTAGCAATTAGCATGGTGCTAACTGCATGCATAGCTGCTCCTACTGTACTTTAGTCCACGTTTATAGTTAACAGTGAGTCATACAGAGTCAGAAACCACAGAATCAGGACTGTTAGAGATCCTGAACACCTCCTCACAGTCTGAGGCCTGTGTATAATGATTTATGAAGGCAGTTAGCACCGTGCTACTTGCTAACACAAGCAGATATGACCTTGTTAGCTACATTAGCCTCGTAGCTCCAGTGCTAAAACTAAAAAAGCAAACTTCAGGCACCAAACATGTCCTGACAGACGGTCTACATTTGGAATAAAGGGTTTAATGTGCTGTATAAATGTGATGTTTGGCTGAAAATCACTGGATTTAAAACTAAGTCATTAGTTATTATTTGTCCATCAGTCCTGTTCAGCACACTGACAGGTCAGAGGAAGCCGAGTTCAGTGCTCAGAGCGCCCCCTGCGGGCTGGTCCGAGCTGCTGAGGGAAGCCGCCGTGTCTAAGGCTGTTTGAGGGAGTTAATATGAGCGCAGATTTTCAGCGCTGGTCCCAGTTTGATGTTCATGGCACTCATCAGATGCTCCTCGGTCAGCAGCAGCAGGGCCTGGCCATCGATCTCCTGCGAACGGAACTCAGCCACCATGTCCTGACATCCTGCAGGAGGCACAAACAAATCCACAACATGTTTTAAGAGTGTCTGGATGATTTTAAGCTGAACTAAACTTACTAGCCCATCTAAGTGCTAATAAGGCCAACTACGTACCCTCACTGGCCATTTTATTAGAAACACCTTCCTTGTGCTTCCACTAACTGGCCACTTTATCAGAAACACCCAATTTTGCTTCCATTAACTGGCCACTTTATCAGAAACACCCCCCTTGTGCTTCCACTAAGTGGCCACTTTATTAGAAACACCAACCTTGTGCTCCCACTAACTGGCCACTTTATTAGAAACACCAACCTTGTGCTTCTACTTATTGGCCAATTTATTAGAAACACACATCTTGTGCTTCCACTAACTGGCCTCAGTCGACTGACTTCAGAGAGCTATATACGAGTTGTATAGGAGCCTGGCTGGCGCCCTCCTGTGGAGTGATTAACTGCATTTGTAGGTACCTGGTAAGGAGCTGATGTAGGAGCAGACCTGCTCCACACTCCACAGCGCTGGAGAGCAGTCCAGCAGGCCGGTGGAGCTGCTGCAGTCCTGCCTCTCTCTCCCCTCCTGCTCTCTCTCTCTCTCCCTGTCTCTCTCCACCTGCAGACGCAGCCTGGTGGTCATGGGGCCCGGAGGGTCTTCACCCTCACAGTCATCCTCTCCGGCCTGCTGGGCGCCGTCCGGTCTGTAGGAGCCCTGCAGCTGAACCATCACGGACACGGATGACCACCAGCGCTAACAGTGATGCAGGATTACAGGATTACAGGACGGCTCTCTCCTTCAGTGACATCACTGAAACACTTCAGCTATGAAACAAGAGGCTCTGTATCGTAGGGCCGGACGATCTGACCAAATAAATCTAATCACAATATTGATATATTTTGTTCCTTATCGTTCAGTATAAAATGCGGCGTTACTGTATGTGATTTTTCTAATGCTCAATTATAACTCTGACTCTTATTTTGAAGAAGGCAAAATGCTTATTCTGGCGTGCTACACAGTGACCCCAAACAGTGGACAAAGGTGTTTTTCTCTCACACTAAGATCAAACCTCTAACTTTATGAAGTAAACCAGTTAAATCCAGGTTTACAGTGGTTACAATACCCAAATACTTTTGGGGCTGTAATTGCAGTGAAAAACAGTACATGTGAGATTTTTTATAAAAACTATATGGTGCGACTTCAAAGGGGTCACCACAACGTAAATAAAGCATAGTTTGACTTTTTAATGTAAAAGTTTGTACAAAATAAAACAGAAAATAACTAAAAATCCAAAGAAGGATGGAATGGTTAATATATCATTATATTGTATACATCAGTGTGTCATTTTTCACTGAAGCCATTAACTAGCCATATATTTATTATAAGAATGTACTGTATATGAAAGAAATATTTATTACATATAAAAGAATATTTCTGAAAATGGATAATGCTAGTTAATGCTACAAACTGAAAATAAATAACACTAGCTAACCCTGCTAACTGAAAATAGGCAACACTAGCCAACGTACCCCCCCTCCCCCCCTCCGGCCCCACCTGTCTGAAGAAGTGTTCTCGGTGGGTGTGGCTGATGCGGCTCGGCGGTCTCCCCCTGCGGCCCATCGGCCTGTTGGGCCAGCGGGTCACCCTGTGGGCCCTCAGCACAGCCAGGCGCTTCGTAGAACTGATGTTAAAGCTGGACAGACAGAGGAACAAAGAAGAACAGCTAGATTCAGCTTTTCACAGTCGTTTCAGAGTAGATGCTGAATAATTCATAGTAGTTACTGAATAATTCATAGTAGATACTGAATAATTCATAGTAGATACTGAATAATTCATAGTAGATACTGAATAATTCATAGTAGATGCTGAATAATAAACAGGTGCCACAAAGGGTTTGACGCAGTAAAAGAACCCTTTTGCTCTCCTAAAGAACCGTGTTTGATAAAGAGAGCTGTGCATGTGAAGAACCGTTTGAAGCTCCGTGATTCAGATGAGTTCTGTTTTCCTCTCTGAGCCGTGAGTCAGTGATGGTGTGGTGGGGTGATTATACCTTCTGATGCAGGTGGTGGAGCAGAAGCGTTTGGAGCGGAGGAAGGTCCGCGTGGAGCCCCTCTTCCCACAGAACTCGCACTGCAGCAGATCTAACGGACTGACCTCTGACCTCTCTGAGAACACACCACACACACACACACACCCCTTCAGAACCCACAGTCTGAGCACCTCTGACCAACACTCTTATCTGTCTGAGAGGACAAATGTGATGTTTACCCCACCAATTAGCATGTTGCTAACTGCACGGCTAAATCATCACACACTGGCCTCAAACCATGTGGAGTTGCTGAGTAACATCTAATAGACTAAGGAGGAAAGTATCACTTTAATGTCCATCTCTGTGGTCAAGCTAGCTGCCTAAATGTAGCTGCTGTGAATATCTGACCATCTTCAGCAGGTGTGTTGTCCATGTCTGAGTCTGAGGAGTTCTCGGGCTGCTCTGCGTCCGGCAGGAAGTCGTGGTGTTCCGCTCCGTTCTCCGGCAGCTCTAGGCCCTCGGTCAGTCGCGCCCGCTGCTGCTCCTCCACAGAGGTTCGGCCCACCTGTGGAACAATGCGCACCTGTCACAGCGCACCTGACCAAGCGCACAGACACTGTAGGTGCAGGTTGGGAAGGGTGGGAACTTTGAGAAAATCCTCAAAAGGAAATTATTGTTTTTTTTTGTTGTTGTTTTTTTGATAAACAATGTCGTTCTGTTCCTCATCTCTGATCAGCAGCAAAGACTTGCATTTTGATCAGGTGCTACTTCAGTACACTGGGTGGCGCTGGTGTCTTTACTGTCTAGAAGAGCTGGTCACTCACAACAGATAGCAGAGTTAGCAGTTCTCAGTTAGCAGAATTAGCAGTTCTCAGTTAGCAGAATTAGCAGTTCTCAGTTAGCAGAGTTAGCAGTTGTCAGTTAGCAGAGTTAGCTAACATCAGCTATTTTCAGCTAAAAGTCTTAGCATTACCTATTTTCAGTTAGCAGAGTTAGCCAGTGTTAGCTTTTTTTAGCACTGAAAATAGCTAATGCTAACATTCTTTCTCTGTCTCTCTTTCTGTCTTAGCTATTTTTAGTTAGCAGAGTTAGCTTTCAGTTAACTGAGTTATCTGGTGTAGCTATTTTTTTTTAGTTAGCATAATTAGCCAGCATTAGCTATTTACGTTAAGCAGTTAGCCAGTGTTAAAAACAGCTAACACTAACGCTCTCTCTCTCCCTCTCTCTCTCTCCCTGTCTCTCTCTCCCTGTCTCTCTCTCCTTGTCTCTCTCTCTCTCTCTCTCTCCGTCTCTCTCTCTCTCTGTCTCTCTCTCTCCCTCTCTCTCTCTCTCTGTCTCTCTCTCTCTCTGTCTCTCTCTCTCTCTCTGCCCCTCTCTGTCTCTCTCTCTCTCTCTCTCTCTGTCTCTCTCTCTCTCTCTGCCTCTCTCTGTCTCTCTCTCTCTCTCTCTGTCTCTCTCTCTGTCTCTCTCTCTCTCTCTCTCAGAGGGAAAGGACTGCTAGCACTCCAGGCCAGTTTAAGGCACGGTGGTAGAAGTGACTGGGAGTGGCTATGGTGCCTCCTGGTGGACATACCGGGAACGGCTCCAGCCCCTCTGTGATGACGAAGCCCTCTATGAGGTGTGTGAGGATGTGTGGTCTAACGCTGGCCTGCGGGGGCCGCTGGCTGGCTGAGGTGGGGCTGCTGCTGGAGCTTCTTACCGCGGGCCGGAGGGAGGGAGGAGGGGAGGTGGACGCTGCGTCTTCTGCTGACCGGATCACGGATCTGCTGGACTGTAAACTGGACGGCTCCAATGGGCCTGTTAACAACAGGAGAGGTCAGCAGAGAGTTTAAGGATGGACATATAATGTTCATATGATCCACACAGTCACTCTGACAGACTGTAATACACTACAGGAAGTGTAGGGGGCGATACGGCTTCTACTGTTTCATTTAAAAAGCTCTATAATGGTCATATGATCCACACAGTCACTCTGACAGACTGTAATACACTACAGGAAGTGTAGGGGGCGATACGGCTTCTACTGTTTCATTTAAAAAGCTCTATAATGTTCATATGATCCACACAGTCACTCTGACAGACTGTACACTACAGGAAATGTAGGGGGCGATATGGTTTGTCACTGCTATATGAGAGGCACCTGTACATGGTTCCGGCTGTGTAGCATCTCTGCAGGAGTCCTGTGGGTTCTCTCCGGGAGTCAATGCCGTGGGGGTCAATGCCGTGGGGGTCGGTGCTGTGGGGGTCGGTGCTGGGGGGGTGGGGGTCCTGCTCCTGTCTGGACATTTCTGTTGCTCCTCTCTCACCACTTCCACTCCAGCTCCATCCTCCTAAACATTAAGAAAATCTAAATTTACACAGGTCTCCCCTTTTATTCGAAATGCAGTCGATCTGGAGCTCTGAGTCTAATATACACACTTAAAAATGATGGTTCTTTAAGGGTTCTTTAGTAGGGGAAACAAAAAAGGTCCTTCAGACATCAATTTCAGAATGAACGTATATTTGTAATGATGTTAACAATAAGCAGCAAAAACAGCCTCAGGCAACTGGAGTAAATGGCTACACTCACTGAAACCAGAGGAACATTAGAGACGAGATTTATAATCTCGGTTCACGTGGAGCATCAAGACACCCAAGAACGTTTTCAGTGCAGGTTTGTTAGCACCTGAAAACACGACAGGAAAGTCCCTGCAGCGCCAACGTCGTCTGTACAGGCAGTTTATCAAATTATGGAATCATTAACAAACCATAGACGCAGAGCAAGAATCCCTAAACCTCATGGAGTTCAGTGTGATGATGACCAGCCGTTCTCTGCTGTAGATGACGCTGGATTTCATGGCTCATTCTGTACACACTAATATTTTTAGTAAGTTTATTTTATTTAAACTGATTTTATTTAGTAGTTTTTATTAGCCAGGAGTTTTGATTTTGGAGCTTTATTAATATCCAATAAAATATCTCACCTATAGCTTTGGGCTGAAGTGGGATTACTGTCTGTGCACCACCCGACGCCCCCTTCAGGCCAGAATTTTGTCCCCTATTAAACCACTTTAACAAAAAAAAAAGAGTTCAGACTCACCGATGTTTCGTTCTCATTTATGTTGGGCTGCACCTTCAGGTCCACGGCAGCGGTCTGTGGAGGCGGAAGGTTCTGGAAGGGCAGCTGGGCCAGAGCTTCAGCCATGGGCAGCTCATCCTCCGACAGCAGCATGTGGTCAGACTGGACAGCCAGCGCGTGGATGGAGCGAAGGGACAGTCTCTGTACAGAGGCTGGAGAAGGGGTGGCGGGCAGCCTGGGCAGCGCCAGGGTCAGTGGGGGCGGAGGAGGGGGACAGCTGAGGGGTTGAGCCTGGCACAGGGGGTCCACCACTGGACCCAGGTGAAGTGGTGGAGGGTCTGGAAGAGCTGAACTGGCCGATGGAACTGTAGAAGTGGACGCCACTAGAGCCTGCTGCTGTGCTGAGCTCTGACTGGCCAGTTGGTCTGAGGAGGCGGGGCACGAGACCTTTTTCATACAAACAAGGAAAGTTAACAGACATTCAGAAATCATACTATATTTTATTATTGTTTAATTTTGAAATATATACTATATGTTTGACTGTATCCAGACACCTGTTTTTCCAACATTCCGTCTGAAATGAAGGGTAATCAAAGAGAGCTCTGACACTCCAACTCATCCCAAATGTGTTCCATGGAGCTTCATCATTCCAACTCATCCCAAATGTATTCCATGGAGCTTCATCACCTCAACTCATCCCAAATGTATTCCATGGAGCTTCATTATTCCAACTCATCCCAAATGTATTCCATGGAGCTTCATCATTCCAACTCATCCCAAATGTATTCCATGGAGCTTCATCATTCCAACTCATCCCAAATGAATTCCATGGAGCTTCATTACTCCAACTCATCCCAAATGTATTCCATGGAGCTTCATCACCCCAACTCATCCCAAATGTATTCCATGGAGCTTCATCATTCCAACTCATCCCAAATGTATTCCATGGAGCTTCATCACCTCAACTCGTCCCAAATGTATTCCATGGAGCTTCATTATTCCAACTCATCCCAAATGTATTCCATGGAGCTTCATCATTCCAACTCATCCCAAATGTATTCCATGGAGCTTCATCATTCCAACTCATCCCAAATGTATTCCATGGAGCTTCATCATTCCAACTCATCCCAAATGTATTCCATGGAGCTTCATTATTCCAACTCATCCCAAATGTGTTCCACGGAGCTTCATCATTTCAACGCAGCTTCAAACCTTCAGCTCATCCCAACCTAGTTCAATGAAACCTCATCACTCCAACTGATCCCAAAGGTGTTTAGTGGGGCTTTTTCATTCCAGCTCATGCAAAAGATGCCCAGTGGAACTTCGTACCCTTAAATCATTCCATATTAGTTTAAGACTCTTCTCTGTCCTGGAGCCAAAGTGGTAGAACGAACTTCCTCCACTGGCTGTCCAAACAGCGACTCTTTCAGGGTCTTCAAACCGAAGGCCGTCTCTTTTTACAGAAATTAAGTGAGCAGTAATCTAAGTACTTGAAGTGTGTTGTGTTGCTGTTACGCTGTGTCTAACCTCAGCTCTGGCTTTTGTTTTCTGGCAGTGTTTGAGCTGAAGGGCAGTTTGGACTCCTGTCTGTTCTAGCTAGTACACTTTCTCTGAGTGGACAGCGCAGCACCTTTGTAAGTCGCTCTGGATAAGAGCGCCTGCTAAAGGCTGTAAATGTGAATGTAATGTGTGAGTATTTTTAATCCTATAACATATATAATCTTATGTTGCCATATAAAACAATTCTGATTTTGGTTCTAATTTTCACCTCACAGTGTTGTGATAGGACGGTGGCAGGGGTGGGCGTGGTCCCGGTCAGCAGGGACAGTGGAGGATGGCCGCCGTCCTGAGCTGTGACCCGGAGAGCAATAGGCTGAACCTGCCTCTGAGCCACGCTACTCTGCAGGATGAACTGTGGGGGCGCCCCCTTCAGGCTGGGGGGGCAGTGCAGCTGGTGCCGCATCAGAGCTGGAGAGAATGCTGCAGGGAGAGAGAGAGAGAGAGAGGGATAGAGAGAGGGATAGAGAGAGGGAGAGAGAGAGGGAGAGAGAGAGAGAGAGGGATAGAGAGAGGGATAGAGAGAGGGAGAGAGAGAGGGAGAGAGAGAGGGAGAGAGAGAGAGAGAGGGTGGATCCATGCTTTAGAATCGCTGCTCAAGAAAAGACACATGACAAAATCTTATTACAATATATTTTTCCACATTATTCAAGACTGATGATACTTTTATACTAAAATTGGAAATATTAGTCTATAAAGTCTCAATTAATGCTCCAAAAGACTAAAAAAGGAAATATTAATCCATAAATAATTTCAATTAACTCTCCTATACACTAGACCCTCTCAAAACATGCTTCGATACAAAAAAATAAGATACTAGTCCATAAATGATCTCAGTAAACTCTCCTATACACTACAATAAGAGATATTAGTAAAATAAATGATTCAATAAACTCTTCTATACACTACAATAAGAGATATTAGTAAAATAAATTATCTCAATAAATGCTCCTTTGCGACAAATAGGAGATATTAGTCCATAAACGACCTCAAAAAACACTCCAATACACTACAGTAAGAGATATTAGTCCATAAATGTTCTCAATAAATACTCCTATGCGACAAAATAGGAGATATTAGTCATTAAGCAACCTTAATAAACACTCCTATACACTAGAATAAGAGATATTAGTGCATAAATGACGTCAATAAACACTCCAATACACTACAATAAGAGATATTAGTCCATACATGACTTCAATAAATGCTTCATACACTACAGTAAGAGATATTAGTCCATAAACTACCTTAATAAATGCTTCATACACTACAGTAAGAGATATTAGTCCATAAACTACCTTAATAAATGCTTCATACACTACAATAAGAGATATTAGTCCATAAACGTTCTCAATAAATGCTCCTATGCGACAAAATAGGAGATATTAGTCATTAAGCAACCTTAATAAATGCTCCTATATAGTAGACTTAGGAGATATTAGTGCATAAACGGCCTGCTAAAGCCTAAAGATTAAAAACATTTGTTTTGGGTTTATATATGAACTATTAGACGTTAAAAATTACGTTAGAATATCTGTGATAATTTAATGACGGTTTGGGCTGAAGACAAAAATGAGTCATCAAACAGGACTCACTTCTGGAAGTTTCTGCCAGGGCCTGGGACAGCTGTGTGGACTTCAGGGGACAGATGGACATTCTGGGGAGGGGGGTGACCAGCGTCTGACCCTGAGAGGCCTTCAGCTGGACGCTCTGGGCAGCACTTAGGGCTCCAGGAAGATGGGTCCGTAGAGCCAAGCTAGAAACCTGCAGGAGAAACACACCATCACAACTAACCACATTAACAGCTGAGGGTCAGCACACTCGTTTACACCATCCACCTGCAGCATTTACTGTGGGCAACTAAGCAACTTTTAACTGCTGACAGTTTATCTTTATCTTTAATATACAGTTTATCTTTAATATATTTCCAATGCCAATTAAAAATATTTGATGTGCTTGAATTCTTTAAAAAGTCAATTACATTCTCTTTAATACTTATCAGTAAAGTTAAAGATAAAAATTAAGATACGCCTTACACTATACATTTATTATTAGTATTATTATTATTATTATTATATTAATGTAAATTAAGCTAAATTTGTCAATTTAAAACCTTTGTTGTAAATGACAAGACGTCTAATTGATGTAAAGTAAATAACAATTTTTGTTAATTATGCCACATTTAATTTATGTAAATTAAGCAACATTTAACTGCTGACAGTTTAGATAACTTTAATTGATGTCAATTAAGCAGCATTTAAATTGATGACTCTTAGTGGTGTAAATCATACAGCCTTTAATTGTAAAGTAAGCAACCATTTATGTTAATTATGCAATGCTTATTTGGTCTCATTAAATCAACCTTTAATTGATATACACTAAGCTATCATATAAGCAATGCTTATTTGGTGTCCATGAATCAGCCTTTAACTGATGTCAAGAAACTGCTGACAAATTAGCAACAGCTATGCCAATTAAGCATTTTTAATTAATGTCAGTTACATAAGCGTCAGCTGATGTCACAGCCACCTACTGAATATGTGAGCTCACACAGTCATTAGTGTCAGAGCTGTGACCCGTCAGGAGGTCAGCAGTCTGTGTGTGCCGTAGTCTATAGCGGTAATACCTCTGGTGCGTTTATCAGAGCTACAGCAGCCTCACCTGTGTGGACGTGGGCTGAGAGGAGACCGAGCTCAGAGCAGGCAGATCAGCAGCTACAGACGCAGCAGGAGTCAGAATCAGCTGATACAGAGAGACAGAGGAGCAGAGGAGGAGTCATACAGTCTCAGTGCTAAAGGCTTAAAAGGGGAGTTCCACTGAAACTGAGGTTCACTGGTGGTTCTGGATAGTAAATAAAATGTCTATATTTGTGTTGTAGTCATGGCAACCCCTGGTTCCTATGACCAAGATAAGGTGTAACTAGGCCATTGCTATGGTGTCCCATATAGTAGCTATGGTGTTAACAGGCCGTTGCTATGGTATCCGTGGTGGTTGTTAAGGTGTTGCTAGGCTGTTGCTATGGTATCCCACATAGTTTGCTAAGATGCTGCTAGGCCATTGCTATGGTGTCCCAGGTGGTTGCTAAGGTGTTGCTAGGCTGTTGCTATGGTATCCCACATAGTTTGCTAAGATGCTGCTAGGCCATTGCTATGGTGTCCCAGGTGGTTGCTAAGGTGTTACTAGGCTGTTGCTATGTTATTCCAAGTAGTTGCTAATATGTGTGCTAGTATGTATGAGAGTCTAAGGGGGCAGTGTGAATGATGTCCTTTGTGACCTCATTTGTGATTTGAATTTTGCAGCATTCCGTCATTCATTTCCAATGTTTAAACAAGCGCTGTACGAAAACTGTACGAACAATCGACCCCAAACGCACCGACTTTATTACATAAATAATGACTTAGTACGGCACCATTTCAACTGCATTTCATGGGGAATTCTCCTCGTATGCGCCTAAATGAAGAGGGGGGGTGCGTTTACACCTAGAACACACGTACAGTAACATCCGCTGTTAGAGCTGCACTTCATACTGATTTCTCACCATCTGAGTGCGAAGGTACATCTGAGCCTGACTGCAGGGGGCGGAGCCATTCCCGAGCAGAACGGCCTGCTGGGACATCGATCCTGCAGACCCGGAGATGCTGGGGGACTGGAGCTGAGTGACCACAGAGCCGGGTGACGTGATCTAGAACGGTCACCAGGGCAGAATAAACAGCAAAATTCAGAAGTCTTCCAGGTGGTTGCTGGTTCTGTTTTAAGTTGTGCTTTTGTCCTTTTTTACAGATAACAGTGAGTAATACAGTGTCAGGCATGCAGTTAGCATCAGGCTAATCGGTGGGGTATAGGCTTCCATTACATGTTAGCTATATTAGCCTTGCAGCCCCAGAGCTAACATGTCTAGGCTTTAACAACCTTTTCCTTCAATAAGCTTTTCTCTCCAGTTATCAGTCTTTTTCAAACCGTGATGGAAGGCTGAAGGCTGAAGGCTGATGGCTGATGGAAGTTGTGAGCGTGTGACTGGCTAACAGCACTTACTGCAGTCTGAGCTGCACTCCCATTGGCTGATGGGGGAGGTGAAGCAGTCTTTCTGCTGTTAGACTGGGAAACCTGCAGAAACAGAGAACTGTCTCTCTTAGCACTTTCTATATTAGCACCAACAAAACATTCCATGGATACATATGATCAGAAAACATATTGGCAAATAAAGTGTTTTCTGATTCAAATCAAAGAATCTACTGGGTTTAATAAAACACCTTAAAAATTCAAACCATGTCCAGCTGCCTTGACCTACAGCTACCAGACAACAGCCAGCGCTGAATAATGTTTGTTTATTTGAGCTCAAGATGTTTTTGTTCTCAGTTGGACATCCTTTGCTAACACAGTTGAAGCTAAAGTTATTGAGAAAATTTAGTGCACTAGAATGTAAACTGGACGGTGCAGCGTGACCACTTTTTAAAATTACCACACTGAAAAGAGTTTGACTCAACTTGCACTTGTACCCTAGACACGGAGAGAGATGTGACTCAGACTCATACCCTAGAGACTCAGGACTGAGACTCGCAACCAATAGATGAGACTCAGACTCATACCTGAGACTCGCAACCAATAGATGAGACTCAGACTCATACCCTAGAGACTCAAGACTGAGACTCGCAACCAATAGATGAGACTCAGACTCATACCCTAGAGACTCAAGACTGAGACTTGCACCCTAGAGACTCAAGACTCAGACCCTAGAGATTCAGATTTGTACCCTAGAGACTCAAGACTCAGATTCATACCTTAAAGACAAAACTCAGACTTGTATCCTACAGACTCAAGACTCAGACTAGTACCCTAAAGACTCAAGACTCAGACCCTAGAGATTCAGATTTGTACCCTAGAGACTCAAGACCAGAACTCACACCCTAGAGACTTGCATCAGACTCATGCCACAGAGACTCTAGACTCAACTCAGACTCATACCTCAGAGACTCAAGACTCAACTTCTATTCACACATCAGATATTAGAGACTCAACTCAGATTTGTACCCCAGAGACTCTAGACTCGTACCATAAAGACTTAAGACTTGGACTTTCACTCTAGAGAATCAAGACTCTGACTCACACTCTAAAGACTCAAGACTCAGACTCTTACCCTAGAGACTCAAGACTCTAACTTGCACCATAGGGACTTGAGACTTGCATCAAACTTGTACCGTAGAAACTCAAGACTGGGACTCGTATTGCAGAAACTCAGACTTGCACTCGCACATCAGAGTTTAGAGACTTGACACTCCATCTGAACTTCCACACCAGAGACTCAAGATTCGACTCAGACTTGCACACCAGAGACTCAAGACTCGACTCAGACTCGCACACTAGAGGCTCAAGACTCGACTCAGACTCACACACCAGAGACACAAGACTCAACTAAGACTTGCACACCAGAGACTCAAGACTTGACTCAGACTTGCACACTAGAGACTCAAGACTCGACTCAGACTCGCACACTAGAGGCTCAAGACTCAACTCAGACTCGCACACTAGAGGCTCAAGACTCGACTCAGACTCGCACCACCAGAGACTCGAGACTTGCATGAAGTGATCTGTCTACTGTCAACCTCATTCAATTTTGAACGTAGCTGTCTGTCCTGTATACCCAGATGCCCCCATGAGGATGGCATCCTGATACCCCAGCTGACTCACCTGCTGTGCGGATGCTGTGCTGTGTGTAGTGGGGCTGGTTGTCTGTTGGTGTTGATGGAGGGTCTGCAGCATTATATGATGTTGCTGTGCTGCGTACATCTGCTGCAGGTACTGAGCCACACCTGCGGGCCTGTGCACAGCCTGCTGGATCACCTACAACACGGGCACAGTTTGGAGAGTCTCAGAGGAGGTTTTGGGACGAGCATGTGATGATTTAGGCCTGCAGTTAGCATCAGGCTGATTACCGGGGTATGAGCTTCCATTTCCTCATAGCTCTGCTGTATAAACGTGTCTGATTGACTCCGTTCGGGTTAAGAAGGAATTTTTTACATTTTTTTGATTCTTCGTCAAACTAACGCTTTAAGAGTGTGAGTTACCTGGACAGTCTGCCGGTCAGTGGGGTTGGTCTGTGTGCGCTGAGTGATGGGTGTGGATGTGCTGGACACTGTGGTGGTCAGGACTGTGCAGCTGGAGGCCACTACTTCACTGCTCTCTTCCTCCATGACTGATCATCCAGATCACCAGGGTCAGTGGGGTCAGGTTTCACTGAGTAGGAGGCAGAACAAGTATGATCATTACCTATTTCATTTTACAGTGAAGTGTGTTTAGGAGCAATAGAAGAGCAAGATACATGCACATTCAGCACAAAGCCTAAACTTAAACCTGCACAGCTCCAGACTAAACTCCACCACGCCAGACTAAACTTAAACCTGCACAGCTCCAGACTGAACTCCACAACACCAGACTAAACTTAAACCTGCACAGCTCCAGACTGAACTCCACAACACCAGACTAAACTTAAACCTGCACAGCTCCAGACTGAACTCCACAACACCAGACTAAACTTAAACCTGCACAGCTCCAGTCTGAACTCCACCACGCCAGACTAAACTTAAACCTTCACAGCTCCAGACTGAACACCTCAACGCCAGACTAAACTTAAACCTTCACAGCTCCAGACGGAACTCCACCACGCCAGACTAAACTTAAACCTGCACAGCTCCAGACTGAACACCTCAACACCAGACTAAACTTAAACCTTCACAGCTCCAGACTGAACCTGAACCTTCACAGCTCCAGACTAATCCTGAACCTGAACAACTCCAGACTAAACCTTCACAGCTCCAGACTGAACTCCACCACGCCATACTAAACTTAAACCTTCACAGCTCCAGACTGAACTCCACCACGCCATACTAAACTTAAACCTGCACAGCTCCAGACTGAACTCCACAAAGCCAGACTAAACTTAAACCTGCACAGCTCCAGACCAAACCTGAACCTGAACAGCTCCAGTCTAAACCTGCACAGCTCCAGACCAAACCTGAACAGCTTGTAGTCTAAACATTAACCTGCACAGCTCCAGTCTAAACCTGAACAGCTCCACTCTAAACCTAAAGCTGCACAGAACCAGTCTAAACCTGCACAGCTCCAGTCTAGTCTAAACCTGAACAGCTCCAGTCTAAACCTGCACAGCTCCAGCCTAAACCTTCACAGCTCCAGGCTAAACCTGAACCTTCACAGCTCCAGTCTAAACCTGCACAGCTCCAGACCAAACCTGAACCTGAACAGCTCCAGCCTAAACCTTCACAGCTCCAGACTAAACCTGAACCTGAACAGCTTGTAGTCTAAACATTAACCTGCACAGCTCCAGTCTAAACCTGAACAGCTCCACTCTAAACCTAAACCAGCACAGCTCCAGTCTAGTCTAAACCTGAACAGCTCCAGTCTAAACCTGCACAGCTCCAGTCTAAACCTGCACAGCTCCAGTCTAGTCTAAACCTGAACAGCTCCACTCTAAACCTGCACAGCACCAGTCTAAACCTGCACAGCACCAGTCTAAACCTGCACAGCTCCAGTCTAAACCTGAACAGCTCCAGTCTAAACCTAAAGCTGCACAGCACCAAACCTGCAAAGCTCCAGACTAAACCTGAACCTGAACAGCTCCAGACTAAACCTAAACCTGAACAGCTCCAGACTAAACCTAAACCTGCACAGCTCCAGACTAAACCTGCACAGCTCCAGTCTAAACCTAAAGCTGCACAGCACCAAACCTGCAAAGCTCCAGACTAAACCTGAACCTGAACAGCTCCAGACTAAACCTAAACCTGAACAGCTCCAGACTAAACCTAAACCTGCAAAGCTCCAGACTAAACCTGAACCTGAACAGCTCCAGACTAAACCTAAACCTGAACAGCTCCAGACTAAACCTAAACCTGAACAGCTCCAGACTAAACCTGAACCTGCAAAGCTCCAGACTAAACCTGAACCTGAACAGCTCCAGACTAAACCTAAACCTGCACAGCTCCAGACTAAACCTGCACAGCTCCAGTCTAAACCTAAACCTGCACAGCTCCAGACTAAACCTGAACAGCTCCAGTCTTAACCTAAACCTGCACAGCTCCAGACTAAACCTAAACCTGCACAGCTCCAGACTAAACCTGCAAGGCTCCAGTCTAAACCTGCACAGCTCCGGTCTAAACCTGAACCTGAACAGCTCCAGACTAAACCTAAACCTGCACAGCTCCAGTCTAAACCTAAACCTGAACAGCTCCAGACTAAACCTAAACCTGCACAGCTCCAGTCTAAACCTAAACCTGAACAGCTCCAGACTAAACATAAACCTGCACAGCTCCAGACTAAACCTAAACCTGCACAGCTCCAGACTAAACCTGCACAGCTCCAGTCTAAACCTGAACCTGAACAGCTCCAGACTAAACCTAAACCTGCACCTGCACAGCTCCAGACTAAACCTGAACAGCTCCAGACTAAACCTAAACCTGCACAGCTCCAGACTAAACCTGAACAGCTCCAGTCTTAACCTAAACCTGCACAGCTCCAGGCTAAACCTGAACCTGAACAGCTCCAGACTAAACCTAAACCTGCACAGCTCCAGACTAAACCTAAACCTGCACAGCTCCAGTCTTAACCTAAACCTGCACAGCTCCAGACTAAACCTAAACTTGCACAGCTGCAGTGCTGCACAGCTTTATTCAAACAGGCACAGCTCCTCGTGTAAGCAGTCATTAGCAGAGAAATGAACAGTGAATGATTATGAATGCAGTGAATGATTATGAATGCAGTGAATGATTATGAATGCAGTTAATGCCCAGTGAACGTGGATGTGTCACTCATGGTTTTCATCACGTTTAATTTCCAGTCCTAAACTGCAGCTCCAGTCTAAACCTGAACGCACATTCAGTCTAAACCTAACCCTGCACAGCTGCTGTGTTCCAGTGCGCTGCAGAACCTGCTGGTGAAACGCCCCCTTCCTGCAGCACAGCCCCCCCTCCCCCTCCTCTCCATCCTTTACATCAAAGCTGACTCCGTCTTTAAATTCGCTTTAAAGTCGGTAATCTGAGCCTCATCCTCCCGCGCGCCGCTCTCTCCAGGTGTGAGGAGCTGAATGTGCATCACTCTTACCTGTCTGCTATTCGCTAGTAACTGCGCGCCATGGCGAGACACCACTCTCTCTCCACCCGTATTCCGCCAGACCCCGCCTCCTGCGCGGTGATTGGCTCACAGCATCCCGCCTCCTCCGCTATGGTTGGATAGCTGCCTCAGCTCTCACTCGTTGAACGTCTCCAGTAGAGTCCGCCAGAGGGCGCTGGTGAGAAAGAGTTCAGAATGAATGTGTATCTATGGAGCTTCTGCACAGTGTTAATCGCTTTAAACGACAAATTCACTCATTTTATCCGCACAAAAGAACATAAGCAGCCTACAAAGTCCACTGTAGGGGTTGTGTGGCAGCGCCTGGTGATGGTCAGTGTGTTACTGTGAAGGCCTGGGATTTGAGTTAATTATGAAATAATGACAAAGAAAAGCAAATAATCTGTCTCATTCATTGTGGATGACGTCTACGTGTAGTTCGGTAAATAGAATAACTGTATAAAAGACCAATTTTACTCAATTAAAAAAAATAAAAGACTGCATTTAATTTTTAATCCTAATAGTTTCTATTGGTCCTTTTTCTACAAGGAATGGTTTTGCTTTCTAATGGGATTTAGCCTTATTTTCACAGTGAAATGGTTCTTCAGATTGAAGGAGAACGTGCTGTAGATGGTTCTATACAGAACCTTTTTTAGAAGCGTTCTATTTAGCACCAAAAAAGGGTTCTTCTATTGTGATGATGTCAAGCTTGTATACAATAGAAGAATAGAAAGCTGTACAGAACCATCAACAACACATTCTCCATTAATCTGAGAAACCACTTCACCATGCAGAGAACCATTCAAGCATGCAGAGGGTTCTTTGAGTGTTCATAGTTCGATATAGAACCATGTGCTTTACTAAAGAACCCTTGAAGAACTGTCTTTTTTTAAGAGTGCAGGGTTTCTCAAACACAAGTGGGCTGCAAAGCACCCACCGGTGGTCTTTGGGCCAATACTGAGGGGGGCCAGTGGTCCGTAGTGGGTCTTTGATGGCACGAAAACACATTAAATGATTTCAAATTCACTGAAGCAGCTTCATCAGTTATTTGCTCTAAAAACAAAACACACTCTGATTAATCTGCCCGCAGTCTTACGTTAGCCTGACCGGCTGACCTGTTATCTTCACTCACTTACGTCACACTGCGGGGTTGGGAATCCAACATAGCTGTGCTGAAAATTTCCCAAAAATGATATTTGAGCAAATAAAAGTTTGTTTCCCTGTGGGCCTTCATGCTGTCTCGTCATAAAAAAGTGGGCCTTGAGGGGGGAAATGTTGAGACCCCTGGCACATACAGTGATTATGTACAGTAATAAGTAATAAAAAGTCAGCGCAAAGTGTGAAACGTTGCTGTAGAAAAACAGAAAGTATATTATTGTGCTTTAATTCATGTTTTGGTGCAACACAGTGTCTTATTTTCCACAGATAAAAGTGATTAACTGTGTTTTTTTTATCATAAACAGGTTTAGTGATTTATAATCCAGCTCCATTCACTCCCGATCATTTTCATGTCTCTCTCTGGCGACCCCTGCCGCCTCTCTGCCGCACTGCAGTAAGTTTAAGGCAGTGGGGCGAACCAGAGCGCAGGAGCCAATCAGAGCTTAGGAGACGGGGCTTGACGGAATACGGGTGGAAATTAAAGGAAGCCGGTCTGATGGTCTAAAATGGAGATAAACACACAACGGTGGAAAGAGATCTGAGTCAGCAGCGCCCCCTGCTGAGCGGGAGGAAGAGATGCATCACACTGAAAAACTACCACAGCATTAAAACAGGAGTTAATGTTGAATGACGTGTCCAAGCTGTACACTCTTTAAGGGCTGAATACTGAATACAGTACAGTACAGTACATAAACGTAACGTATTCAGAATACATTTAGAACATGTGCGGCTGTGGCAGATGGGAAAAACTCCAGACGGCAGTTTTCTTTACTTAGTTCTTCTGTTAAAAGGTTTAATAAAACATCCGCTTAGCGTTCGAATGAAGTTCTGGAGTTCTCAACACTGAGATTTTATCAGTCCACTCAGGCTTTAGCAGGAACTTCTGTGTTTGTAATGAAGGCGTTTGTAGTTCCTGTTTAGAGCCTAACGAGTGTGTTTGCTAAACACGGTTTGCTTTTTAAAATAGATAAATAAGCGATACTTATTAGTGGTTCTTTTAAAGATTGTATGCTTTTTTGTAATTTAGATAAGTATTATAAACGTCTGAATACTGCATTTATTCTCAGTCCCTGCAACAGCATCAGGGACTGTGAGGGTCAAGCCAAGCTGTAACTATGGTATCACCACCAGGTACTGGGGCCCATTCTGTAACCATAGCAACAATGAGACTGGGTGGGGTAGGATGGTGGTCAAGCCACAGCCATAGGAATCACACCAGGTTAGGTGGGGGCAACCCATAACCATCAAAACATTAGGTCAGGTGGGTGATTTCAGGGGTAGGACCAAGCCGTAACCATAGTAACAGTATCAGGTACTGGGGTGGCACCAGCAGTAATCACTGCAACAGCATCAGGGATTGTGAGTGACAAGCCAAGCTGTAACTACAGTAACAACAGGTACTGGGGCCTGTTCTGAAACCATAGCAGCAATATCAGGTACTGGGGCCCATTTTGTAACCATAACAACTGTATCAGGTATTGGGGGCCATTCTGTAACCGTAGCAACAGTATCAGGTACTGGGGGAGAGGTGTGTGATATCAGTAACCATAGTAACAATGATAGATACTGGGGGCAGCTCATCCATAGCAACAGCATCAGGTACTGGGGGGTGCTAACAGTATTAGATACTTGGGGGGCAGAAGGGGGAACGCTATCAGTAACCACAGTAACAATGACAGATACGGCAGGGCATCACATCCATAGCAACAGCATCAGGTACTGGGGGATGCTATCAGTAACCATAGTAACAGTGACAGATACTTGGGAGGGCACATCCATAACAACATCAGGTACTCGGGGGAACCCATAATCATCAAAACATTAGGTCAGGTGGGTGATTTCAAGGGAGGGCCAAGCTGTAACCATAGCAACAACATCAGGCACCTGTAACCATAGAAACATCAGGAGCTGAGGGGCGCAGGCGATGGATTAAAGCTGTTTGATGAACCACAGATGGACCTGCACACGAGTTTAGTTCAAGTTTGCCTGAGACTTTTAGTGCAAAACCAGATTACTAACCTAGTCCAGACTACGTGGCCAGAGAACGTGGTGATATTTGATATATCACTGCTGAAAAAACACCATTAGAACCATTAAGAGTGAAACCTGTTTTACTTTCTAATGGGAATTAGTTTATCATAAGAGACCACCAGTTTCCTGCAGGACACCTTCAGATTCCATTAGGAGACCATCAAATGCATCTGGAACCAGAACACCCGTTAATCCATTAGAGTCCTTTTCACTGCGATATCAACTCATCAGGAAAACATACAATACTATCAGTGGCTACTGGACACCAGCAGGAACCAACACACTTTAATGGGTTCTGTTTTCCTCAGCAGTGAATTTACTGATGATGGTGCCTAAAAAGAGATTTAAACGTATTAAAAGCGTTTGAAGGACTGAGTCCGGTTATCTCCTCTTATTGTTTCCCTCACTGATCTGAACTGAGTTTACAGAGCAGATTAAAGGAGGGCTCACCTCCCCCTCCTCCACACAGTCATTTGGTACATACCAACTGAGGTCGGACGCGTCCATTACACGCGATAACGTTACACGAACTCTTAGCAGTAGTGTTTCGTATTGTTCGGCCACAAACACACTCGGTGCCTTTTATTCCGATCTCATACTGACGTTTCAAACTCATTTGTGTTCGATTTAACTTCAATGTATTCGTGAAATTGTGTGGAAATGAATTCGCGCCCCTGCGCATTCCAGTGTTGGGTGAGTCCGCGGTCGAGTCCACCGCACAGAGCGCGTGGGGGGTTAAGAGTTCCAGCTCCGTGCACAGGCCGCCGCCGTTCCAGTCGGAGCCGCTTACAGTTTAACCTCAGCCCGCTCACAACTTCGCTCTGTCCCGCTGACACACCCAGAAGAAGCGGCTCCATCGACCGGGACTCGGTTAAACCCTAGCGGGCCGGATAAGGCGGGTTTCTCCGGGGCTTCGCTGGCTGGCGGTGCGAGATGCCGACGCTGCGGGACAGCAGTGCGACCCACCCGGTGGAGAACCAGCACCAGGTCCGGGTGAAGGCCTACTACCGCGGGTGAGTTTATTCACTGGTTTAAGGGCTTAAATCTCTAGAAAACGCTCCAAAAATAGGCTTCACTCCTGTTTAATCACATCTGTGGCTCAAGCTGTGGGTGGGGAGTTAGCATAGCGCTGCTAACAGAACTTCAGAACTGCCCTGCTTTATCCAAACACAGCCGTAAAGGGGAACTCCACCCATTTTTCAGAAATTCCACCGAATTAAACGGTTGGGATGTAAACAGAGTGGTTTGGTGTGAAACGCTCTGTTCTAGAGAAACTTACCGAGTCAGAACTGTTCACAGTGGTGGTGATAGGAACCAGACGTCCACCTCTAAAAGCTCCCTCACAGAAAGTTCCTACATGAAATGGTTATGAATTCACTGCCTGATGACTGAGACACTGTTTTATGATAGTTTAGAGAACTTAAACTCCATTCATGGTGGAGGGATACATGCAGGGCGCTGTGAGGCAAAATAGTCCCCAAAGAAAACTTATTATTTCAGAATTTCCACTATTTTCCATCATCAACACTAATTCTGCTAATGTAGATAGTTTAGAACACAAGCTGTCGGTCCACACTACTGCTAAACTCTCAACACTAACTCTGCTTTAAACAGCATCAAACTGAAACACAGTTATAAGTATATTAATACATAAGAGTAATCGTTTTTATTTTACATAATTATTTTCCTAATAGGAGTCTACAGATGGACACAGCTCAGGTTGACTGTAGTTAACTGCTTTAAACTTTATTAAATAAATAATTTTTCCACCCCTGAGGTCCTTTTATGACATTATTGGGGGCTCTGTGTACCAAAAACTGTCATAATTAATTTGTACGTGACCATTTTATCTCACAACCCCTCATAATTCCATGATTCATAAAAGATGTCTCTTCTTGGGTTCTTTAATAAATAGAATGATTCTGTTCAGAATTTTTAGTTTATTTCATGCTTAAATGGTTCTATATAGAAGTCATGGTTCTAAGTATGAGTTATGTATAGAACCATTTCATGCTTAAATGGGACTTTTTGGGACATGCTCTGATCTTCAGATTAATACAGAATGCATTGTAAATGGTATATTACAAGCTTGATGCTGTCACATTGGCAGAACCCTTTTTGGTGCTATGTAGAACCTTCTTCAAAAAGATACTGTATAGAACCATGTGCAGCACATATCTGAAGAACCAGAGGGCCATTTACACATGGAAATGGTTCGATATCGAACTCAAGGTTGTAGACAGAACCATAATAATAATGTCAGCTGGTTGTAGCTCATTTGAAGACTCGGTACAAAATTCTGTAGGGTAAAAAAAAAAAAACAATGCACTTAATTAAAACTGTTTTTATATGTCTAATAAAAGTGGTTTTAATCATATTGTAATATAGATATTCACTGTGTGTGAATCTCACTCTTAACAAGGTATCATGAGAAAGACATTTTAATGTGGCTTTTTGTTGCAAAAACCTTCATATGTTATTTATATTCGATTTTAGTTTTATTTTAGCCGATATGAATTGTGATGTGGCTTAAATTCAGATGAACAGCTATGTTACCTGTAGTTATTATATTGTGTATTATATTTAATGTATTATATCATAGCTGTAGATTACCCTGAGACCAGAGTGGGGGTCACTGCAGGCCGGCATTGTAAACTCTGCTCCTGTCACGCTCTGACACCGTGTAGATAGAGCCACACTCTCGGAGGACGAGCCTAGAGTGGGTTAAAACATGTAAAATCAACTTTAACGTTAAGTGCTGAGTGACTTCTGGAGCTGCAGTGGAACATTTTAGTCCATCCAGCATCTCTCAGCATAGACAGTACAGAGAAATTCATCTCTTTTTTCAATTTCTCCATTCCACCTTAAATGGGCGCCAGCCTGTAACAGCTGCACCATTTAAGGTGGAACAGAAAATTCCAATATGAAGCTGGCGAATGAGAAACTGAAGCTCTTACGGCTCCATTCTTCTATTCTTTGGATCTTCTTGGGCTAAAATAAAATGCAAAGCTCCAGAATGAGGTCTTACAGTGGTGCTGATAGGAACCAGGGGTCACCATGACTACAACACAAATATAGACATTTTATTTACTATCCAGAACCACCAGTGAACCTACACGAGTCTTCTGAGTTTATATGGAATGTTGATGATGGAAAATAGTGGAAAATCTGAAATAATAAGTTTTCTTTGGGGACTATTTTGCCTCACAGCGCCCTGCATGTATCCCTCCACCATGAATGGAGTTTAAGTTCTCTAAACTATCATAAAACAGTGTCTCAGTCATCAGGCAGTGAATTCATAACCATTTCATGTAGGAACTTTCTGTGAGGGAGCTTTTAGAGGTGGATGTCTGGTTCCTATCACCACCACTGTGAACAGTTCTGACCTGTGTTCTTCTAATAACCTGTGTATTCATGGTTATGCTGGAAACGTCACATTCTGACTGTTGTGTTTAGGTTTATTTGTATTGATTCCAATGTTATTTGGTGCTTTTACTGGCTGGAAAACACACAGCCCAGATAAAAGGTTTGAAATGGTTAGAAATGGTTTAAATGCCTTCTGTCCAGCGCTGTATGTACCTCACTTCCTCCTCACGCCCACACAGACCTTTACTGTTCTGAGTATCTGCATGACTGTGTTGTCGCTGGTGAAGTGTGGTGCTGGAATAGTTCAGCGCTGTAGTCATTTCGCCGTCGTGTGTGTCGACTCCTGCGAATGTTATTCACCAAAGACCTGAAAAACCTGCTGTTCCAGAAGCTTCGGCCGGACCTGTCAGAGCTTATTCCTCCCTCCGGTTCCTTCTTCGTCACGCAGCGCACAGCTTTCAGAGCGAGTGACGACGGGCATCTCAGAAATGCTCAGATCAGTCTCGCGGGGCCAGACGAGAGCTCGTAACGAGAACAGCGACGGAGAACCATGATGAAACAAATGCTTTTTAATAGAACCTCGTTACCTCCCCTTCAGGGGGATCTCCAGCGCCACCTTAAGGCAGGGCTCCAGGCAGAAATGAGCTTAAGGAGCCACTGGCTCATTAAGGAAACAATCAGGTGCAAGTGGCTTTGTTTTAAGTGCTAAATAATAATATGCAAAAAATAAAGCTTTAACACGCCTCAGATCAGCTCTGAGACTTCAGTGTCTCGGCCGTCCACAGCACCTGATTCTTCTCATCAAATCAAATCACGTTTATTGTCGCATCACATTTACACAGGTGTGAAGGTGAGTGAAAATCGTAGCCCCTTATAGTACTTAAACACAAGTTTATAATATTTTTTTGTGTTTATATATATATATATATATAAAAGTGTGTGTATATGCATATATATAAACATATATAGTTTCTGAGCTGCTGAGCTGACGTTAAGTGTTTATATTGGCTGAACTGCAGTTCACAGTGCTGTGGATCGTATAGAATTGTATAGAACTGAGTGTAACCACAGTCTCATTGATTGTTGTTGGAGTAGGGGAGTCTGAGCTGGGGCTGGGCGATTAATCAAAGTAATCGAAACTGACATTCAGAAGCTCTATCTGATGTAATCTTGCCCATGTCGGGTATTTAGAGTTTTTAATTCTGTTAGTCCTTTCCCGACTCTGTTTTCATGTACTGCCCCCTTAGAAACGTACTACTGCGCGTGTATCACGTGACTCTGCCACGTCCAGTCTGTGACACGGAAGCTAAGGCTACGTTCACACAGCAGGTAAAAGTGACCCAAATCTGATTTTTTTCGTTTGTCTGTTCAGATTATCTTTTAAATGTGATCTGTATCATCAGTCTGAACAGATCAGCTCCTAAACTGACCCACTAAAGATCAGAGCGTCACGCTGCTTCACGGCTCATCCAGAGGTAAACAATCACGACCGCCAACGAACGCCAGTCACTCCTGGAGGATCAGCTTCATCTTCACCAGCATCACAGGAGCCATCATGAAGCTTCACTGACTGACAGCTGGGCTCATCACCCAGAATGTGTTCGAGCCGTAAAAAGGGCGCGGTCACTTCTTTGGTTCGCGTCCTCGGATTCTGTAAACTCTGCTTTCAGACTTTTACCTGTTCTTTGACGCTGCAGCCTCGTTCTCCTGCAGCCGCGTTCGGACATTCTCTTCAAACATCTCTTCAAACACGGAGTGGTTTGGATGAGTCTCTTCTAATCTTTGTACAGAAACATCAGCCGAATGTTTATTAGGTCTCAGCAGCGTGAAATTATGACGAATGTCGAGTTGGATTGACGTAAAAGTCGTGTGAATTCTGATCTGGCTGTTGAGACGATTTGCAGTAAGACATGCAGAACATATTTACAGTACAAACCTTGTCGTTTATGAATCGTAATCGAGGAAAAACATTCAATTTGCCCAGCTAGTCTAAGCACACATTATGTTGCAATGCATGCTGGGGAATGTAGTGCAGCGCATTGTGAGACGAGCTAATATTAATAGAAAATTAAAATACTTGCGGGCCGGACAGGACTGTGGGCCTTGTGTTTGACACATGGGTCCTACATTATTCAGCGATGGTTTAAGTTAAAAGTGAGGAATTTAACCCGAATAACGCAGAGCTGTGAACGGACAGTCCGGCACGCTCGGCAGATGAATTCAGGTCTGAGTGTTGACTCTCCAGGATGAAGCGCAGCCTGAATGAACGAGAGTTCAGCCTCCAGAAGAGAGAGAGAAGCTTTTATTATGATTATTTGTCCATGAAAAGCCCTGCAGGACAGCAGAGAGCAGGCTCACTGTTTACGGCCTGGTGGGTTATTATAGTATGTTTAAAAGCAGCGGGCTGTGTGTGTGTGTGAGTGTACGAGTGTGTGTGTGTGTGAGTGTATGAATGTGTGTGTGTGTGTATGAGTGTGTGTGAGTGTATGAGTATGAGTGTGTGAGTGTGTGTGTGTATGAGTGTGTGAGTGTGTGTGTGTATGAGTGTGTGTGTGTGTGTATGAGTATGAGTATGAGTATGTGTGTGTATGAGTGTGTGAGTGTGTGTGTGTGTATGAGTATGAGTGTGTGTGAGTGTGAATGTGTGTGTGTGTTTGTATGAGTGTGTCTGAGTGTGTATGAGTATGAGTGTGTATGAGTATGAGTGTGTATGAGTATGAGTGTGTGTGTGTATGAGTGTGTGTGTGTATGAGTGTGTGTGTGTGTATGAGTGTGTGTGTGTATGAGTGTGTGTGTGTGTATGAGTGTGTGTGTGTGTGTGTATGAGTGTGTGTGTGTGTTTGTATGAGTGTGTGTGTGTATGAGTGTGTATGAGTATGAGTGTGTGTGTGAGTGTGTGTGTGTGTGAGTGTGTGTGTGTGTGAGTGTGTGTGAGTGTGAATGTGTGTGTGTGTTTGTATGAGTGTATGAGTGTGTGTGTGTGTGAATGTGTGTGTGTGTTTGTGTGAGTGTGTGTGTGTGAGTGTGAATGTGTGTGTGTGTTTGTATGAGTGTGTGTGTGTATGAGTGTGTGTGAGTGTGAATGTGTGTGTGTGTTTGTATGAGTGTGTGTGTGTATGAGTGTGTGTGAGTGTGAATGTGTGTGTGTGTTTGTATGAGTGTGTGTGTGTGTGTGTATGAGTGTGTGTGAGTGTGAATGTGTGTGTGTGTTTGTATGTGTGTGTATGAGTGTGAGTGTGTGTGTGTGTGTGTGTGTGTGTGTATGTGTGTGTGTGTGTGTGAGTGTATGTGAGTGTATGAGTGTGTGTGTATGAGTGTGTGTGAGTGTGTGTGTGTGTGTGTGTGTATGAGTGTGTGTGTGTGTGTGTGTGTGTGTGTGTGTGTGAGTGTGTGTGTGTGTGTGTGTGTATGTGTGTGTGTGTGTGAGTGTGTGTGTGTGTGTGTGTATGAGTGTGTGTGAGTGTGAGTGTGTGTATGCGTGTGTGTGTGTGTATGAGTGTGTGTGTGTGTGTGTGCGTGTGTGTATGAGTGTGTGTGTGTGTGTGTGTGTGTGAGTGTGTGTGTGTGTGTGTATGTGTGTGAGTGTGTGTGTGTGTGTGTGTGTGTGCTGATAAAGTCGTCCCTTTGTATTTCCGTGTCTGTGGGTTTATAATCATCTCCTACAGCTGATAATCACCATCATGTCTCTGATAATTACTCTGTATGTAAATGGTGTAATAAATAATCTCAGTATGGAATGTGACCCAGAGAGGTTACCACGGTAACCTGCAGTTTCAGCGGTCTACAGGTTTTGGTTTCAGTGAGTGTGTTGAAACTGGTTTGTGTTTGCTTTGGGGTGGAGGGTGAGTGTGCGTCAGACCGCAGTGTTGTGTGTGAGTGTGTGTGTGTGTGTGTGTGAGATCTCAGCTGTGTGACTCGTCTCCTGAGGTCACATTAAAGAGAAGTTCAGTCAGGAATGCAGATAAAGAATGAAATCAAAGAGCTGCTGATTAGGAACCGACGTAACGCCAACACCGTATCTGTAGTAGTAATAATAATAATAACCAAAGCAGCTGTCGTTTATTTCTTCCTCTCTGTTATTAAGGCGAAACCTGCCCTGAGCCTGAGTTGATGCTTATAGAATATTTGCGGTAATGTTTGGTTAATTGTGTGAGTATAATCTGTTCACAGCACCTCTGATGATGAATGATCACTGTAGACTGTGAAGTACAGCCACTGTTTACTTTTAGTGTTTAGTTTGACGGTGACACACTCAGGTTTAAGACAAAGAATTGGAGGGTTTTGTTCCAAAATACAGTACAGACCACTCTCAGATCTCAGAGCTGAAAGATTAGTCGCTTTTACGTCGAAATTGCAGTTTGAGAGCACAGTTTTCAATTTTTTAAAATTATAGCCCAATATTAAAAACATTTGTCTTAAGTTTTATATGGGGGAATTTATCGCAATAACGCCGAGTTGTGTACTGCCTGTAGAGCTGGACCAATCAGAGGCAACCAAACCTCCATGTGTTGTGACATCACGACCACAACCTACTAGCTTTCTAACTCACTACATTAGGGTTTCCAGCCTTAAGCCAGAAAAAATGGATATTCTGGTTTTCTTGGACCAAAAAAAGCAAGTCTGAACTTCAATTTATAGACAATAATCACAATTTAAATCACAGTCGCAATATTAGTCAGAAAAATCGCAATATTAGTCAGAAAAATCGCAATATTAGTCAGAAAAATCGGATTGGATATTTTCCCAAATCGTTCAGCCGTACTGTCAGATGTCTGCGTGTGTGTTTGCAGGAGACCCTGGGCTACTCAGATATGTCAGTTTTTGACATAAATGCTAACAGAATTTTGATACCTTTATACATTTTGTATATTTTTGCTTATACAGGTTTTGGAAACAAGTGTCAGATACGTTCTCAGAAATTAGTCTGGAGTGTCTGTGAGCTGTAAATGTGAGAATTTTAATGGGGGTTCATGTTGTTGCTTATTATTGAGTAAAAATAGATGATTAGCTAAGGCGGCCTTGTTTTTAATTGATTTTCTGTCCTCTTGGATTCATGCTGAGGGCTAAAACTCTGACACACAGCAAGACAGGCTCTATTTTTAATCTCAGATTGAGTTCAGATGTTTACTTCTAGTGTGTGAATCATGTCACTGTTTTAACCCTTTGTTTATTATATGAAGGCTGAAAGCAGAGATGTAATATAACAGTAGCGAGTGGGTTTGGGTGATTTTGGAGCTGATCTCCGGCTGGTGGACGGCCACAGGTGGATGAAATCACTCTGGGTAGTGAGGGCAGAGTCTGATGAGTGATCCGATGTGGGAATCGTGTGTGTATGTACCCACCAGACCCGGCCAGAACGTGCCGGTGATGTCATCCAGCTGTGGTCAAACATCAGCCAGCAATCCAACTTGAAAAATTACCCAGAAAACCTGATTTTACTGCTCTGCTTTTAGCCTTCATTTTCCAGCAAAGGGTTAAACAGTGACATCAGATCACCCATCAGACTCTGCCCTCACTAATCAGAGGGATTTCATCCAGCTGTGGCCAAACATCAGCCAACGATCCAGCTCCAAAATCACCCAAAACCAACTCGCTACCGTTACATCTCTGCTTTTAGCCTTCATGTTGTAAACAAAGGGTTAAAAGATGATTCATACATAATTACACTTATGATATTAAGTATGCAGCTCAATCTGAGATTAAAAATAAAGCCTGTTTTGCTGTGTATCAAAGTTTCAGCGCTCAGTCTGAATCCAGCAGGACAGAAAATCAATAAAAACATGGCCACCTTATGCTGATCATTTAGTTCTGTTCAATAATAAGCAATAGAATGAAACACAGTCAACAATCTCACGTTTTCAGCTCACAGACACTCCAGACTAACAGTTTCTCAAAAGGTACCTGATGCGACGCTTGCTTTTAAGATTTGTACAAGCAAAAATGTATTAAAAATGTATGAAGATAATAAAAATCTGATATCATTTACATGTGAAATAGTAGCACAGGGGCTCCTGAGTGTGAGAACATAGGGCGAGTGACTGTCTCATGTAAACACTTTATAGTTGTTATTATAATTGACCAAAATATCGAAAGTTACACCAAATTATCATTGCAAGAGTTAATAACACCTTTATTAGAGAAATGAAAATGTGTTTTCCGTTGTACGCCAGCTGTTACTCTTTTCAGGGCTCGTTTTGTCCAACATTATTATGGATTGAATTGCAGGATTTTGGGATGAAGCTCTTCGGTGGTTTATAAGCCTAATTGCTCACAGTGTTCTGTGAGGGACAGTCGTGGTCCGTTTACAGCTGTGCGGGTTTTGGGTGGCTGCTCAGCGGAGTGAAGGAGTTCGTGTAGACGTCGTGTTTCCTTTTTTACCCTGTAATCATTCACTGAAAACACACAGCAGAGCAGCTCAGATCAGAAGAGTAGAGGTGAAAAAGCAGGTTTGCAGGTATTCAGATCAGATCAGATCAGATACGTGTCAGATGTAAAAAGGAAAAATCAGATTAGACTGTAAAATGTAGGATGAACGTGCTGAGCCGAACGCCTGGGTTTCGGTGGGTGACTGAGGACTGTGATTTAGATTTTCACAGTTTTGGATTCTGAGGTGAAGATTTAATTAGATGTTTAATGTTTTATTTGTTAAAATGTTTTGGTTGGATGTAGAAATGAACGAGTTCACATTTCTTACTGCTCACTGATGCTGATACAGAGTCTGATAACCTTACTGAGTAACCTACTTAGAATTAAAGTCCGAGGCACATGGTGTAAAATGATGTTTGTATGATACTAAGCGTGAGAGGTTATGTTTTAGCCTGTTTTAAACACACACAGTCTCAAATGCTTCTCTGGTACCTGTGGAGACACGCAGGGCAGCCAAAGTCCGTCTATGTCGACTTTATTTTGTTTAACTGAATATAATATAGACATATAAACCTTAATATTGTGATTTTAACGCACTTCATTAACATCAGATTTAATGATTTACCTGTTAAAGTTCATTACACTGACAGCTACTTCACTCTAAGTAGGTACTCAGTGTGGTATCTGACTCTGTATTAAAAAAAAATGTGTAATTGTACTCGGTCTGAAAAAATGGTATCGATTTATCCCTCAATATTATGTCTGACAGCCTCTCGCTGTGAACCGTGGCTGATATCACTGCTAACAGCGCACGTTAATGTTTGTTTCATACCGTTTCTCTCTCTGATCTGATGTGTTTGTTTGTTTGTGTTTATTCAGGGACATCATGATCACCCACTTTGAGCCGTCCATCTCCTACGAGGGCCTGTCCAGCGAGGTGAGGGACATGTGCTCTCTGGATAACGACCAGCTCTTCACCATGAAGTGGATCGATGAGGAAGGTGTGTCCTGCTTTTACAATAAAAAAAAATAAAATAAAAAATTCGAATCGTTCTCTGATGTTCTGTCTCTGCTCTTCAGCCTTTACTGATTCCTTTGTTTATTTATAGCTGTTTTATTTCGCACAGCCGCCACATCTTCCCTTATTAATGTTAGTATTTTCTTTTTTTGGTATTTGTTTACGTTTATTTCTGTCTTCTCTTCGCTCCCCAGTTCACACATGGAAACTAAACTGCAAAAACAGCCCATTTTGAGTGAATTGTTTTTGTGATTTCGCACAAGACATCCATGTACATCCACCTATTCAGGCTGCAGCAGTTTAGCTGTTCCCAGTCTCACTGAAGTTATAAGGAGTGAATGAGGCAGCCAGTCAGAACAGAGCTCGTTTGCATATGTCTGTCCCAAATACACATACACAAAAAGGCACATGGCACACTTGAGGAGGCATAATAGCGCCTTTTAATAAACACAACGTTATAAGCAGCCTTTGTTTTGTCTACACATTTAAAAATTATGGTTCTTCAAGGGTTCTTTAGTAAAGAAAATGCATCTATATAGAACCACAAACACTCAAAGAACTCTTTGCACCATTAAAGAGTTCTTTGCATCGTGAAAGGGTGGCGAATGTGCTGTAAATGTTTCTATATAGAACCTTTTTGAGAAGGGTTCTATATAGCACCAAAAAGGTTCTTCTAATGTTACGATGTTAAGTTTCTAATAATAGAAGAACCTTTTTTGTCTGAAAGTCTAAAAATGTCACGCTTACGATGTCCGTGTTTCAGTCAGAATTTGCGTCAAACCCAGGCTGTATCCCAAACGGCTCCATACTCCCTAAATAGGCTAGATATGGAAGTTTAGAAATTCTAGCTTCTGCTGTCGGATAGTGCGCTGCCTGTCGAGTATGACTGTGGATGAATCCCAAATTCATCCCATTTTAGCGATATTTTGCACTGTTGGGGTGTAGGAGTATTTAAATTCCTACATAGTGCACTATGTAGGGAAAGGGGAGCCGTTTGAGATTCAGCCCCAGCTTGAGAAAAGCAGAGACAGAAGAACAGACGGCGCTCAGTAACGTCTCAGTTCAGACTCTACCTCATCATTCAGATAACGGCGTCTCTCAGTCTGTACAGACACTGCGCTGCTTCTGCTGTTCAGTCTTATTCTCCTCTGTTCACTGTCTGTGTGCAGGAAGTGAAGAAATAAGTCCTCTGTGCAACTCCACCTAATACAGTTCTGCTCAAAATTCACTAGTTAAATTCACATTACCTGTGAACCAATGAAAACGCCTGAGCGAGAGAGCTGTTTCTCTTAAATTGGCACTAAAGCTGCACAAAATGCTCAGTAAAGCTGTTGGATATCAGTGATGATATGAGAAGTGATAAATTATTGTCTTGCTAACCTCTACTCTCAGCAAAAAAATCAAAATCACAGAAGAAACAATCAGTACTGGGCAAACAAAAAAAAAAAAATAACGGAGCACTATAGAGCTGGACGATATGGAAAAAACATCACAGTACTTCACAAAATACACAACATGTTACGATATTATTTTCTGATTTAACAAATACTCTCAGAAAACTATGAATACAGTTTCACACACTGCACTGCACTAAATCCACTTAAACAGATTAAGCACTCTCTGTAATGAAACATGCAGCTGGCAGCATTTTGAGAGAATACAGTAAATATTAAGATGTAATTTATCAGTGTAATTACATGTAATTTATGTAATTTGGTAACGATGGATGTCGTCATACTGCCCAGCCCTACACTAATAGCTACCACCTGTATCCGATCTGCAGAGCACTGTGAGGCTGAATAAGGACACAGTGTCAGTGATTCAAAGCTCTGCTCCTAAGAAAAAGGCTGTGTGGCTGCTAACGGCGCCGTGAACCCACACCAGAGGGAGTGTTTAACAGAGTGGTTATCAAAACGAGTGGGGAGGTTTTTTTACTCAGGAATTTTACTCAGTATTATATTGTTAAAGAAGTTCTCATGGGATCACTTAACATTAATGGACTATTATTATTACGGAGCCCCTTGTTTATAAGGCGTGGCCACAAATTTTACACACTTGCAAGTTTGTCGTCCACCTGTGGCCTCAATCTAGTCATTTGTGACCTCAATGTATTCATTTGTGGCCTCAATATAGTAATTTATGGCCCGAATATATTAACTTGTGCACTCAATATATTAATTTATTGCCTAAATATATTAACTTGTAGTCTCAATGTAGTAATTTGTGGCCTCAGTATATTCACTTGTGCACTCAATATTAGTTTGTTGCCATGCCCTATTAACAGAATCACCATGTTGCCTTCGGGGCTTCAGGGTAGGTTATGGCGAAGTCAGGGAAGATAAAAGTTCACAGTTTGCATCGGACATGAAACTAAAGATGGAAACGAGTCAAACACAGTTGTTTTGTTTTTTTGTTTTTTTATAAACCAGGATTTATGCAGCAGCAGTTTTACACAGAAACGATGTCATAGCGTGAAGCATTTTCATCACTGAATGTCAGTTTGATGGAAACAGCAAATATCTCACACCTTATATTTATGCATTTTCATTTGATCACATGCTGTCTGCACTGAAGGTGGATGGAAACGTAGCTACTGACTAAACGAAGAGATATAAACGGAGACTGTAGAGAAACTCACCGACACAGACTTCGTTACAGTGGTGGTGATAGGAACCAGGGGTCGCCATGACTACAACACAAATATAGACATTTTATTTACTATCCAGAACCACCAGTGAACCTACACGAGTCTTCTGAGTTTATATGGAATGTTGATGATAGAAAATAGTGGAACATCTGAAATAATAAGTTTTCTTTGGGGACTATTTTGCCTCACAGCGCCCTGCATGTATCCCTCCACCATGAATGGAGTTTAAGTTCTCTAAACTATCATAAAACAGTGTCTCAGTCATCAGGCAGTGAATTCATAACCATTTACTGTAGGAACTTTCTGTGAGGGAGCTTTTAGAGGTGGACGTCTGGTTCCTATCACCACCACTGTGAACAGTTCTGACTCGGTAAGTTTATCTAGAACAGAGCGTTTCACACCAAACCACTCTGAACCACTCTGAACCGCTCTGATTACGTCTCAACTTTTTAATTATGCAGGACATTTTAAAATATGGGTGGAGTTCCCCTTTAACATTAAAGTGTCTCTGTGTGTAGGTGACCCCTGTACTGTGTCGTCTCAGTTGGAGCTGGAGGAAGCTCTGCGGCTTTATGAACTCAACAAAGACTCCGAACTCATCATCCATGGTAAGATGCTTATTAAACCTTTTTTAAAATTATACTTTTATCAATTATTTTAATGTTTATTAAAGCGTACATTCGTCTTATTGGACAAAATACATTCTCAGGATGTTTCAGCGTAAAAGTGAGCTTTGCTTTCTATAGCAAGTTAATAATATATCTATCTGTAACTAAGTACATATTTATAATAAGTAATTAATATATATATACTCATCATTTCACCTCTAATCTAGCATCAACCAGCCATTAAATATTAATTGCTAGATCAGGGCAATATGGCAGTATTTATTGTTGTTGTATATTGTGTCTCAATATGTTTTTTTTGAGTATATCCTAGATATGATCAGTGTTTAAAACTCCTCCCAAGTGCATATTTAATTAAAACGAGAGCCTAATTAGTCCTGTTTAATTGGATGTAGTGCAGCTCAGTGTGTGAAATGTTAAATGTAAGTAATTGGATTAATAGTTTTTGGTAGTATTTTTAAAATGTAGGTTTACTTTGTCTTTTCTAACTTATCAGCTGTCAGAAAAAATAAATATTGTGACACATCATGTACCAGGAAGTATCGTGATACACGGTTTGCCGCAACAGCCCCAGCAGAGTAATGAGTTCATTATAAGTAAGAATCCGGCCGAGAAAAGGTAGCATGTTGTGCTAACAGCACTGACGGTTATCATAATCAATGACGCTGTTTATCATCATCATTAAAAACAATGTGATCAGTTCTTTAATCTGAGCCTGGTTGTCTCCCTGCAGTGTTTCCCTGCGTTCCGGAGAAGCCGGGAATGCCGTGTCCAGGAGAAGACAGTGAGTCCTCATCGCTCGCAGTGCTGAGCTCATATTAATGTTCAGAGGAGTTGCTAAAGACAACAGCCAGGCTTTATTAGCCTGCTGTGTGCAAACATACGAGGAATTTGTTTTTGTTTACACAGTAAACAGATGCACTTTGTTCCGCTGCCCGCGCTGGGTTCTGTGTTATTTCTCACGTACGCTCACAAAGAAAAAGGAAAGGTGTTAAATAAAATTAAAATGTTATATATCGTCACTGTCCAAAGAAAAACAAGCATCTCCAGGATGGTAACTTCACAGAAGAGGGCGAAAACGCTCTTTACTTTTAATGTAAAGAGATTTAATTTCAAGTGATTTTGGAACGTTTCTGTTGTTTCATTCATGTGAAATGTTCGCACAGTGTGAAGGACAGCAGCAAACTGTTCACATGACGGTGAAAAATGAAAAAAAGGCAAAAGTAGATGTCAGTGTCCGTAATACGGATCCTCTAAATTGTAGCTGTAAAGAAATAGGATATATATATATATATAATTTATTTTTTAATAAATTTTCAGAATATCTTTGCTGTCAGATAAAAACCCCGTACCTCTGAAAATCAATGGAAGTTGAAGTACATGTATAATATATAATGAAAGATTTTATTCCAGGCCCTTTTGGATCATTTCTATTGATTTATTTGTAATAAAATAGATTATTCCTGTTGGTCTGTTCATCACAAAATCTTGGCACAGCTGCCGGGTTCAAATGATGTAGCAAACTAATCAACAAAAATGGAGCTGTTTTTCTTTTGACAGCAGCAGTTTATGAATATCATTCTAGACAGATCCTCTAAACTGTAGTTATAAAGAGATATAAGAAATTTGAGAGTCTGTCAGTATAATAATTGTGGCGAATTGATTTCTGTATTGATTGATTTATTTTTTTTTTTCCTCAAAATATCATTGCTTTCATGAGAACCTTATATGTCCAAAATGGTGACTGTAAGAAGAAGCAATACATTCTTAGCCTATAATTGAAGTTACATAATTACATATAAATATATAATGAAAGATTTTTTTGCCAAGTGATGTTGGGTCATTTCTGATCCATTCATCATAAAATTTGGCACAATCTAATGAGCAGCTGTTAAAAAAGCTCTACAAGGTTTTCTTCCATCAGTGCCTGATGGCGCTGAAAGCGGTTCTCTTTGTTCTCTGATGTGTTGGTAAATGTTCATACTGTCCACTCTGTTAACTCCTGTCCCTCTGAATCCACAGAGTCCATATACCGGCGTGGAGCGCGGCGCTGGAGGAAGCTCTACTACGCTAACGGACACGCCTTCCAGGCCAAGCGCTTCAACAGGGTAACCACTTATTCCCTTTCACACCCGGCCACTTTATCAGAAACCCCTCCACTGTGTTAACGTCTGTAGCATTTGTGATGATGCACAGTTGTGTTGTCCTTCATCAACACTCAGTTTCTGACCACAAAGATGCTGTTATCTGTGATTGGAAGCGCAAGTTGTGTTTCTAATAAAGTGGCCAGTGAGTAGAAGCACACTGTGGGGGTTTCTAATAGAGTGGGTGGTGAGTGTACTGCATGGTTTCTAATAAAAGAGGTTAATTGATGTGTTTTATGGTGATTGCTCTGTTGCAGCGGGCTCACTGTGCTATCTGTACTGACCGGATCTGGGGGCTGGGCCGGCAGGGCTATAAATGCATCAACTGCAAACTGCTGGTGCACAAGAAATGCCACAAACTGGTGACGGTGGAGTGCGGCCGACAGATGATACAGGTGAGAGAAGTGGGCCGGACTTCACTGGTCAAAACCCACCTACATGTGTCTTCGTTATACCTGTAAAAAACCATTATAATCCCCAATGACAGCATACAGTAATGTATTTACTCATTTTTTGCCAAATTTAAGTTCTTACGTCATTTTCAGAGCTATATATAAAAAATGCGTCCCAGGAAACAAAAAAAACTAAGTCTTGATCTTGATTTGACTGTTGTTGTTTATCCTGTGTTGTCCAGGAGCCGATGCCGGGCCGAGGGGACCATGTGCCACACCCACCGGACCACACAGAGATAGGTACACTGACTCTATCTGGTTTAGCAGAAAAGCCTGACTGAGTAATCAGCAGTCCAGGCAAGTTACACTCAAACAGTGACATTTAAAAGAAACGGAAGAGTTTTGGGGAGTTGGAGAGGTGAATTTACTGAGATTAAACTGAAAAGGTCCTCTGAGAGGAGCACCTTATGTAGCGTAATAATGAAAGCTTCTAGTTAAAGTGCAAACTAATATGGAATAATATGAATTCTTCTGATACTGTTATTTCATTTATTACCTTTTCTAGGGCAGCGATTACTCCACTTTTAGTTGAAAATCAGACCTTGTTAGTCAACATAGAAAAGGAGCAGCTCTGCGTAACGCTTTGTTTATTGAGAATTAAAAGGAGAAGAATAAAAAAGTTGTGTTATTAGATTCAGATATGAAGAGAACACTCAGAGCCTGCAGCTGGATCTACAGCAGATACAGATAGTTGAACTGGTTGAACATTAACTCTTAAAACAGAACCCGATGTCTGTAGACAGGCTCTGTCCTCGGCGCTCTCAGACGTGTCGAGCCGTTAACCATCATTAATCAGCCTGATTGGGTTCATTAGGCCATCGAGCAGACTCCTCAGCGGTCAATAGCTCTGCGCTGACCTGTATTGAACCTGAGCCGTTCACAGTGACCTGATAAGTCGTTAACTGATGTTTCATCTCGGTCATAACGACCCGGGTCAGTGAGCTGGTCTCTCACACTAGATTGACCTTGGAGGTTAGAGTGAGCGACTCAAGCGGGTTAGTGGAGTGTGAAGTGTTTCAGACGATGCTGTGAATGCAGAAATCAATAGGTTTCTGGATAGAGGGAAGGCTGGTATATAGGACAGGCATAACATCACAGTACCTCACACAATACACAACACCAGAAGATGCACATGTTATTTTTATATATATATAGGTTTTACAAGATTTAGTAAGCTGGAACAGACAAAATAAGACCTGTAGTTCCGCATATGAAAATACTATAATTAAAAATCTAAACTACATTTATTTTTATTCAATATTTTGCGAACTGCACTGCACTAAATCCAGTTAAACAGGCCTAATTATGCTTATTTTGTAATGAAACATAGTTAGTAAGTGCTCTCTAAGTACTGACGATATCCACTCTACGCTCAGAAAACAGTATTATGACAATTATTATGATAACGAAAAAAAATTGTCACGTTGCCCACCTTTAATATTTATTTATACATATATTGCTGCTGTTGGAACCTCGTATCTTCACAATGGTAATTTTACATGAGAAGGAAGTAATGTACTTTACTTTTAATGCAAGTTAATGGAACCAGAAATTTTTCAAGTAATTTTGGGTCGTTTCTTTTGGTCCATTCATCATGAAATTTACACACAATGTAAAGGACAACAGGCATTTTCAGATTGTGTCAAAAACTAAAAAACACCCCATATATATATATATATATATATAAAATATATACATACACACGCACTGTAATGTGTTGACTGTGCTATAATCTTAGGCTGCGGTAAAAAGGTTCAAAACTACCTATATGGACAGTGTGTTCTTGTCAGTAAAAAAAAACATATATAACATTAGAATAAATACATTATAGGTTTTTTACATTATAAATACATTATATTAGTGGTTGACCGATTATTGTTCTGGCTGATAATCAGAGCCAATGTTCAGCATTTTTCCAATTATTGGGATTGCCATTGAATTGGTTCCTTGACGATAAAGGTGCTTTATTTCATTTATGCGCATATCTAGTGGCCAGTTAGTGTTTTATATTTGTTTTTATATATATATAATATATACACACATATATACAGTTGATTTTCTAAGTGTGCATAAGTAAACACATCCTCTACTGACAACACGCTTCTGCTACTAATATACAACTAATGATTTATTTACTGAATGTATTAAATTAGGGGGAAAAAGACCTATAAGAATGTGGCCGGGCACACACTGAAAATTCTACGGAAACTTGTCATAATTAAATATTTTTGCTGTAGAGGATGTGTTCACTTAGAAAATCAATAAAACATGTAATTTGACTGTTTAATGACGCAGCGAGTGCAGAAATAACTGTTTCTTTTTATTTCCAGTTCACAAAAACTCCTCAGAGAGCATCAATCACGAAGGAGAGGAGCATGAGGTCAGTCCTGCTGTGTGCATGTGTGAGATGATTGGTCAGACAGGGGTCATTGTGCAGAATCTCATTTTGTTGTCCTCACTTGGCAGCTTTTACAGCAGGAGGGTGGGTGTGTGACAGAGGTGTTAATCCAGTCTTTATTGATTTCCTTTAGAGCAGCTAATAAAGTCTCTCTCTGTCACAGACGTTAAGATCAGTGAGTAATTAATGACCCGGGCAGTGTTGGGTTCTCCTCACCCAGGGACGGGGAGGCTGACCAGAGTCCAGGAGTAGTGTATTACAGTCTGTCAGTGTGACTGTGTGGATCATATGAACATTATAGAGGCTTTTAAAATGAAACAGTAGAAGCCATATCGCCCCCTACACGTCCTGTAGTGTATTACAGTCTGTCAGAGTGACTGTGTGGATCATATGAACATTATAGAGGCTTTTTAAATGAAACAGTGGAAGCCATATCGCCCCCTACACTTCCTGTAGTGTATTACAGTCTGTCAGAATGACTGTGTGGATCATATGAACATTATAGAGCTTTTTAAATGAAACAGTAGAAGCCATATCGCCCCCTACACTTCCTGTAGTGTATTACAGTCTGTCAGAGTGACTGTGTGGATCATATGAACATTATAGAGCTTTTTAAATGAAACAGTAGAAACCATATCGCCCCCTACACTTCCTGTAATTGGTAAACTGTTCTGTGTGTTGCAGGCGGGGGGCAGCAGAGACCCTGGTAAGGCCCCCTCCAGTCTGGGTCTGGCTGATTTCGACCTGCTGAGGGTGATCGGACGTGGGAGCTACGCTAAAGTGCTGCTGGTGCGGCTGAAGAAGACAGAGAGAATCTACGCCATGAAGGTGGTGAAGAAGGAGCTGGTGAACGATGACGAGGTAAACCAGTGTAAACTGGTCTGCTTGTGGTTTGGTATTTGCTTAAGCATTGCTTAGTAAACAGAAATCTAACTCTCCTTTAAGCAAATAGCTAAAATAGAAAATTAGAAAAGCCGTGTTCACTACTGTGTGAAAATAGAAAGAAATTAAATACTAATAGATGCTTTTATCACAACTGAGAGCACATTTTTGTGCACTGAATGGACGAGAAACAGCCAGCATACATAAAAGCTACAGAATCTCACATTCATTCATTCCTTCATCATGTGAATGATGATGATGCTGATAATAATAATAATAACAATAATAATAATAATAATTAAAGAGTAAATATAATGTGAAAGTGGCCATTACTGCTTCATAGATTTAACACACAACACTAAGCGTGAGAATGATCATAATGTGTGACGAATTTTACACATAAACGTGTGTTTATTACAGAAGCTCGTATTGCAGTAACAATAAAGATGATTTATTGTACAGGTCTGGTCGGTATATTTTCTCCGTCTTCCTGTGGCGTAACGTGACACATCCCTACAATAAATCAAGCTGTGACCGGGTCACAATATTCATGAAATATTAGATGGGAAATAACTTGATGCCATTCTGTGTCCATCAGAGTCGTAAGTGTGAACATCAGACAGTGTTCAGTCTTGTAATTCCGGCAGCAGGGAGGCGGAGCGTGGATGTTCTAAAGGAATACAAGATTTCTGATATTTCTGTTATAGTTTATGTTGGAAATGTACCAAAATTGCAGTGTGTTCTCGTGATCAGTAGTGAGGTTTAGAGGCGGTTGTGACGTAGTCAGAGAAGTCTCACACTTGAATGGTGTTTTAAATAAGCAGGAGACACAGTTTTTAAAAAATATGTTAACTAAAACAGTGTTAAGGAGAAGCGTGTATGCAGTGTTAGACTGTGGGAGGCTGATGGTGATGCTGCACGAAGAATCTGCTTCTGGTCTTCATACCCAAAACTACAGTTCAGTTCAGTGTGCTACTGTGTAGGGTTATCCCTACAGTACAAAAGGTGTGCACACATTGTCCTTATAGTGAACAGATATCTAGACAGTGTATAGAGGTTAAAGTGTGCGCTAATATGCTGATAGCTGAGTTGTGTGTTGGGGAACAGTGTGAGCTCAGTGATGAATCGAGGTGATCCAGCTCTAGAAGAGGATGCTCTGATTGCGGGACGGACAGATGATCTCTCTCTCCTCTCTCGTCTTGCAGGATATTGACTGGGTCCAAACAGAGAAGCATGTGTTTGAGCAGGCCTCCAATCACCCGTTCCTGGTGGGCCTTCACTCCTGCTTCCAGACTGAGAGCAGGTCAGTCATCACACTCAGATTCTGTTATATTCACCAAAAACAAGAGCTCAAGTAGCAGAAGTCGGCGTACGTTCCAGGAAGCTGAAACAGTAAATATATAATAGAGATGTGCTTCCTGGCTGAATAAACACGTATATTACTGCTGTCTTTCACATCCAGTCCAAAACTGATGGACTGCAACGCTGCGTAAATGTCCTAGTCGGAGCCTGGCGATTTTCTGGGCTGTAACTTTTGTACAGTGCACATGAGAAGAGTTAACCCTGTAGCTGTTTAATTCAGCTGTACTCTGTACTTCTCTGGTTATTATCTGGTCCGATACTCATTTGGTTCTGTGTGTGTTCTGTGCGACAGGCTCTTCTTCGTGATTGAGTACGTGAACGGAGGAGACCTGATGTTCCACATGCAGCGGCAGAGGAAGCTTCCAGAAGAACATGCAAGGTCTGAATGCTCTCCGCCCCACAGCAGAGTCTCAGGGCTCAGCATGATTCATCCAAACGTTAATGCACTTATCATATCCAGATAGATCACACAATAAAATCTGCAGCTGATCAGAGCCTGAAGATGATCTGCAGGTTAAGTTCAAGTGGAGTGGTCTGTCATTCCTCAGCGTAACTTGTATAGAAAGTGTGGAACTTCAGGCCCCAAACACAAACCAGCAGCACATTACAGGAGTCTAGATCAGTCCAGGTGGCTGTTGGAAAAGGTCTGGAATAGTCCAGGTGGATGTTGGAGAGGGTTTAGATTAGTCCAGGCAGGTTTTGGAATGGGTCTAGATTAGTCCAGGTGGATGTTGGACAGGGTCTAGATTAGTCTAGGTGGATGTTGGACAGGGTCTAGATTAGTGCAGGTGGTTGTTGGAGAGGGTCTAGATTAGTGCAGGTGGTTGTTGGAGAGGGTCTAGATAGGTCCAGGTGGTTGTTGGAGAGGGTTTAGATTAGTCCAGGCAGGTTTTGGAATGGGTCTAGATTAGTCCAGGTGGATGTTGGACAGGGTCTAGATTAGTCTAGGTGGATGTTGGACAGGGTCTAGATTAGTGCAGGTGGTTGTTGGAGAGGGTCTAGATTAGTGCAGGTGGTTGTTGGAGAGGGTCTAGATAGGTCCAGGTGGTTGTTGGAGAGGGTCTAGATTAGTCCAGGTGGATGATGGACAGGGTCCAGATTAGTCCAGGTGGATGTTGGAGAGGGTCTAAATTAGTCCAGGTGGATGCTGGAGAGGAGGAAGCTGTTGCGGAGTCTGGTGTTGGTGATGGAACGGATGCTCTGTTACCTTCTGCCAGATGGTGGAGGGTGAGGTGTCAGTGAGGGGTGGGAGGGGTCGTCCACAGTGCTGCATGTGAACGTCTGTCTGATGCTGATCGTTTTTGTTCTCAGGTTTTATTCGGCTGAGATCAGTCTGGCTCTGAACTACCTCCACGAACGAGGCATCATCTACAGAGACCTGAAACTGGACAACGTCCTGCTGGATTCTGAGGGACACATCAAACTCACTGATTACGGCATGTGCAAGGTCAGTGAGTGAGACCAGGAGAGAGAGAGTGTTTAAATTAGAGCAGGGCAGTATCACCTAAAATCATATCACAGTGTTTCTCATTATTAGTCATTATTGATTCTTTGATTTTATGTCTGAATAGTGTTTTAGATCATGAAGAAAACCAAAGGCCTCTTTTGATCTAATATAAAAAGTTGTCTACTATTAAGAACATGAAATAAGAATAAATTAAAAAAATCAAACTAATCTCTTCTTCTGTCTCTAGTGGGTCTTTACAGTTAATGTTCAGCAACCCTCTCCCTGTCTGAGAGAAAACCACACAGCGCCACCCAGTGGACTGAAATAGCAACTGTTCAGAACTCAGGCTTTACTGCTAATAACAGATACTCCTTTATATCATAGGACTGAGTCGTATTTACTGGGTGAGGTGTGTGTGTGTGTGTGTGTGTGTGTGTGTGTGTGTGTATTTTCAATCTGTCTCACTCTGTGTGTTCTAGGAGGGGCTGAGGCCAGGAGACACCACCAGCACCTTCTGCGGCACCCCCAACTACATCGCCCCTGAAATCCTCAGAGGGGAAGACTACGGTACAATATATATGTGTGACTTTTTTCAGTATGTGTATCATAAGAGAGGCCACACCAACACAGCAGGGGACTTACAACAGAGAGATTAGGAGATATAGGAATGTAGGTACATTAAAGGGGAATTCCATCGTTTTTTCAAAATTCCCCGTAATCCAGTGTGTGAGGTAATCAGAGAGATTCAGAGTGGTTTGGTGTGAAGTGGTTCAGATGTCTTTACAGTGGTGGTGATAGGAACCAGGGGTCGCCATGACTGCAACACAAATATAGACATTTTATTTACTATCCAGAACCACCAGTGAACCTACACGAGTCTTCTGAGTTTATATGGAATGTCGATGATGGAAAATAGTGGAAAATCTGAAATAATAAGTTTTCTTTGGGGACTATTTTGCCTCACAGCGCCCTGCATGTATCCCTCCACCATGAATGGAGTTTAAGTTCTCTAAACTATCATAAAACAGTGTCTCAGTCATCAGGCAGTGAATTCATAACCATTTCATGTAGGAACTTTCTGTGAGGGAGCTTTTAGAGGTGGACGTCTGGTTCCTATCACCACCACTGTGAACAGTTCTGACTCGGTAAGTTTATCTAGAACAGAGCGTTTCACACCAAACCCCTCTGAACGACTCTAAACCGCTCTGTTTACATCTTAACTGTTTAATTATGCAGGAATTTTTAAAATATGTTTGGAGTTCCCCTGTAATAGGGGACCCTGTTAGTGTCCCTGTACTCATATACAGACTGTATGACCCCATTTACACAGATCTGATCACTCAGAGCACGTCAGGAGATGAACTGAGACGCATTTGAGCCACATTATAGCAGCGTAAACACATCCGTCTCTCCAAGATACATTCAACACCCAAAACCCCTCCTAGTACAACCGAAACTCCTCCTAGTGCAACTAAAACTCCTCCCAGTACAACCAGAACCCCTCAAAAGTACAACCAGAACTCCTCCCAGTACAACTGAAACCCCTCGAAAATACAACCGAAACCCCTCCCAGTGCAACAGTAACTTCTCCTAGTACAACCAGATCTCCTCCCAGTACAGCCAGAGCCCCTCCCAGTATGACCAAATCTTCTCCCAGTACAACTGAAACTCTTCCCAGTACGACCGAACAAGCAGTCTGACTAACCGGAGACGCATTTGACTACCAAGTGTAAACGCATTCGGCTAAAACCTTATCAGGATACAATCCAGATACTGGACACCGGAAGTGACCGGGTGTAAACAGGGTCTGTGTGTATGTTTTTCCAGGATTCAGTGTGGACTGGTGGGCGTTAGGGGTGCTGATGTTTGAGATGATGGCCGGTCGGTCTCCGTTTGACATCGTGGGCAGTTCAGACAACCCTGACCAGAACACTGAGGATTACCTCTTCCAGGGTAAAACACCTGCACAGCTCACACTACGACTCTAAACGTACATTATTAAACCATCAGAGGCTGTTTACAGAGATTGTATCACAGGTAAGGGTTACAGGCACGCTGTGAAGAGGAGTAAAACCCCTTTACTCACAGTAAAATCACTAACGCATGGCCTCGCGTGGATTATCCGTTCGAATTGAACAGCGATTCAGCTGCACTGGCTTTGTAATGTTATACTCAGTTGTAATGATATTCAACAAATTGTGCATTCATTATTTTTTGGCCAAAAAAAAATGTAAACATTTTCTAAAATCTCAGTTTCAGATCCATTCATTTGTTCAGAAGTTGTAATTCATTGAATTGTTCTGAATCTAATTTTATGATACATTTGAGTTGTTTGGAATGTACTAAATTCTTTAAATTGTTCAGATTCAAATTATATGATTAACTAGAGTTGTTCAGAATGTTATCGATTCATTGAATCTTTCTGAATCTAATGTTATGATTCGTTGAGTTGTTCAGATTGTAAATTGATTCATTGGATCGTTCAGAATCTAATTTTACGATTAACCAGAGTTGTTCAGAATATAAGTTGATTCATGTAATTATTTGAATGTCATTGCTTTTTTGAATCGTTTAGAATGTAATTGATTAACTGAATCGTGCTGGATTTAATTTTATGATTCAGTTAATTATTCAGATTGTAAATTGATTTGATGAATTGTTCTGAATCTAATTTTATGATTCATAAATGAGTTGTTTCCTAAAGAACTGGGGCAGGGACCCCTAATGACCCCCCCCCGGTGTTCACTAACTGACCCTGTGACTGATATTTCAGTAATATTGGAGAAGCAGATCAGGATCCCGAGGTCATTGTCAGTGAAAGCAGCCAGCGTCCTGAAAGGATTCCTCAACAAGGTGAAGGACCACCTACACCCCCCAACCACCCCCACACACACTCACTTAAGTCCCTTTCACACTTAAAACCACCCTGCCCACCTAAAAAGAGAGGGTGGGTCAATTATGATCTCTTGGACTCCCAGTTACGGATGGCTGTGGCATCACTGGGGACTGAATTTGTGATCTCCCAGTTACAGCTCCACTGTGGAGTTTCCCACTCAAACGCCCAGAGTTGTACTGGGTCACCTGCAGACAGATTGATATGTGTAAATTTTACTGGGATTTGGATTCCAGTGGACCCTCCCTCTCCCTCCCTCCCTCCCTCTTCCTCCCTCCCTTCCTCCCTCCCTCCCTTCCTCCCTCCCTCCCGCTCCCTCCCTCTTGCTCCCTCCCTCCCTCGCTCTCTCGCTCTCTCCCTCCCTCTCCCACTCCCTCCTCCTCCCTCCCCTACTTCCCCCCCTCCCCCTCTCCCTCTCCCTCCCTCTTTCACTGTCTCTTATCTCTTTCTCTGCTTCTCACTCTTTTCTTTTTCTTTTCTCGCTCTCGCTCTCTCTCTCTCTCAGGAGCCGAAGGAGCGTCTGGGCTGTCACCCTCAGACGGGTTTTGCTGACATCATGGCCCATCCTTTCTTCAGAAATGTGGACTGGGACCTGGTGAGTCAGAGGACACTCTGTTCTCTCTGTCTGTCTGTCTGTCTGTCTGTCTGTCTGTAAATGTTTAGACAGCAGTCTGTACAGACGGTCTGAGTCACTGTGTTTAACAGCAGGCACACTGCCCACTGAAACTGCTCTCTCACCTCCCGCAATCAGCACCTCATACTGCTAATAATACTAATACTAATAATAATACTATTAATAATAATGCTAAAAATACCCTTTAAAAAGGAACTCATTTAAGTTAACACGAATAGATAAAATGGTTTTAATTTCATGGGAATCCTTAGATGTTCAGTATATATACAGCAGAGCATGACAAGCTCTTTCCGACGAGGCCTGGATCACCTCGCTAGCCTTCAGGGACCCAGAGATAGGGACCCCGACATCAAGATTAGTCTGTGAAAATCCTACGTCCAAACACACTGCCCATGGTCCCAGGCTGGATTTCGGCTTATGAGTGAGAGCGCAGCCCTGAAACTGCTGAAAAGGTGTGAGATATGAGGAGTTAGACGGCAGAACGTGAGGAACGTGATGGACGAGTGTGGAAACTCTGCCGTGTGCTGAGTGCCCAGTTGTTGGCAGACGTCTATATTGGGAATCAGAGCTGCTGCAGTTTTTAGCTGTTCTGAATGATCCCCTGTAGAGCTGCAGTGTTTGTCTCTGACCTGCTAACCCTGTTTAGAGAGAGGGAGAGAGAGAGGGAGGGAGAACGAGACGTCTGGACAGATCACGTTGCAGTTTCCACTCAGACAGGCTGCCGTTCCTCTGTCGGCCTGCAGGGGGAGCAGTGTTCAGACTAAAGCTCTGCAGCTCCTCAGTGTTAAAGCGAGGGAAACATTACACAGTGAAAACACACCAAACATTCCCTTTTACAGAGAATCGAACTCAAACAGGGTTAAATCTGAGTTTCACTGGACAGGATTTGTAAGTGAGGATAACTTGGTGCATCGTGGAATATTAGAATTGATTAATAATAACATTCAGTAACACAGGAACTTTTTTCATTTGTTTTCTCGGTAAAATAATATTCTCAGACTGTTTTGAAATACATTTTTTAAAATGATTATATTTTGTACTTGATTTAAGTTCTAAAATATACAATGTAGATGAAAATACTATATAAAAATAATTTATAAATATATAAAAATTAATATCGTTTATAAAGTATGCACTCATTTTTTGTGTAAAGCAAATATAAAAAACTTTTTTATAAAGTATATATTTATATATGCTTTATATATATTAATATTAATAAATATATTTTATTTTATTTATATAATAAAATAAATAAATATATATCCCTTTTTTTGGACAGGCCTTCAACTATTTTCAAAAGAATTTTATACACACACATATATATATATATATATATATATATATATATATATATATATATATATATATATACATACACAGGCCTCTCCTCTACCATGAAAGTAATTGCTCCAGTCACACTAAGTGTATTTTACATTTATTTATTTATATATATATATATATATATATATATATATATATATATATATATATAAATTCCAGCCTAAAGTCAGTGTTGTTTCTGAGCTCTTCTCATACTGGACAGGCTTTACTTCACGGAAATCATTATGTATTCATGTAATATTCAGAAATTATTTTATTTGCATACCTATGGCACAGTGCACATGGCCCCAGGCTTGCTTTACAGTCAGATTCAAGCAGAAGACCATTGACTAATATTATTTTCAAAAGAGAAACTAGTTGTTTTTTTAACATTAAGTAATTAAGTAATTGAGCTGACGTTTGTCTGTGTGGTTGTGTTGCAGATGGAGCAGAAGCAGGTCGTCCCGCCCTTCAAACCAAACATTTCTGGAGAGTTCGGCCTGGACAACTTCGACACCCAGTTCACCAACGAGCCCATCCAGCTCACACCGGACGATGAGTCAGTATCTGTGTGTGTGTGTGTGTGTGTGTGTGTGTGTATGTGTGTGTGTGTGTGTGTGTGTGTGTGTGTGTGTGTCAGCCCCCCACCCTCATGCAGGTGTTTATGGTATTTTGTCCTTGGCGTCTCTTTGTGACTCGTCAGCTCGTAACACCAGCGTCATGATTCTATCAGAGTTTGCGCTCATGATTCAGCTGTTTCTCCTCTGGGCTAATATTTACAGCGATGCCTCAGCCAAAAATAACTTTCCCCAAATGTAGTCAATCAGCCAAGACATGTTTGGTGACTGAAGTTTGCTTCTTTAGTTTTAACACTGGAGCTACGGTGAAGAGGCAAACCTCAGACACCAGCCGTGACCTGGCTGATTGACTACATCTGAGGTGAAGAGGAACCCTGGGTGACTTTTTCACCTCTGCTGAAAATCGCTGCTCTAAACGCTCCAGAGACAGTAGCTTTAGCCCTGTGTGCATTCTGCCTCCGAACGTCGCTGGACCCTCCTTATTATGATTATTACACCGAACTGACATCATAAGCCAAATTATACAGGACTCTTATTGTGAAAGCATTGCTGTTCCTGCTGAATGTGAGTGAAGTCACTGTGACTAAGGTGTCGAGGAGTTAATTGGTGTTTTCAGTGGATCAGTTTGTTAATTGTTCTGCGCTGAATCTCCCACTGAGTCCTGAATGAATCCATGAGGGCAGATTTAACTAACTGTCGCTCTGAATTAGAGTAATAGCTGAAATAGCTGTAGCTAAACTAGAGTGCAGCGTTTGAGCTGGTCAGGTTTGGGTTTGAGCTGTTCAGGTTTGGGTTTGAGCTGTTCAGGTTTGGGTTTGAGCTGCGCCAGGTTCGGGTTTGAGCTGTTCAGGTTTGGGTTTGAGCTGCGTCAGGTTTGCGTTTGAGCTGTTCAGGTTTGCGTTTGAGCTGCGTCAGGTTTGGGTTTGAGCTGTTCAGGTTTGGGTTTGAGCTGCGTCAGGTTTGGGTTTGAGCTGTTCAGGTTTGGGTTTGAGCTGCGTCAGGTTTGGGTTTGAGCTGCGTCAGGTTTGCGTTTGAGCTGCGTCAGGTTTGGGTTTGAGCTGTTCAGGTTTGGGTTTGAGCTGTTCAGGTTTGGGTTTGAGCTGCGCCAGGTTCGGGTTTGAGCTGTTCAGGTTTGGGTTTGAGCTGCGTCAGGTTTGCGTTTGAGCTGTTCAGGTTTGCGTTTGAGCTGCGTCAGGTTTGGGTTTGAGCTGTTCAGGTTTGGGTTTGAGCTGCGTCAGGTTTGGGTTTGAGCTGTTCAGGTTTGGGTTTGAGCTGCGTCAGGTTTGGGTTTGAGCTGTTCAGGTTTGCGTTTGAGCTGCGTCAGGTTTGGGTTTGAGCTGTTCAGGTTTGGGTTTGAGCTGTTCAGGTTTGGGTTTGAGCTGCGTCAGGTTTGGGTTTGAGCTGCGTCAGGTTCGGATTTGAGCTGTTCAGGTTTGGGTTTGAGCTGCGTCAGGTTTGCGTTTGAGCTGTTCAGGTTCGGGTTTGAGCTGCGTCAGGTTCGGGTTTGAGCTGTTCAGGTTCGGATTTGAGCTGTTCAGGTTTGGGTTTGAGCTGCGTCAGGTTTGCGTTTGAGCTGTTCAGGTTCGGGTTTGAGCTGCGTCAGGTTCGGGTTTGAGCTGCGTCAGGTTCGGGTTTGAGCTGCGTCAGGTTCGGGTTTGAGCTGCGTCAGGTTCGGGTTTGAATAGTGCCGCTACTTTCTAGAGCTTATGTTGGAGAACCAGACAGTGTCTGGAGGGTGAAGTTGATCTGCCGTCAGATGGAAAAATTTAGCTGCAGAAAAATGAATTTGCAGGCCAGATTTAAAGGTGCAGTTTGTAGGATTGCAGATTGCACCCAGCTGAATCTCCTTCCCTCACTCCTCCCTTTCCAAGCGTGTAGTAGAACCTACGGTGGCCGTCAGGTTTTCTGCCGTCATCTGTCCCAATTTCGTTTTGCTTCATGTTTTCTCTTCTTTGACGGTGAGGATTCACCCTCCCTCACTTTTTTGGTGCTAAATAATGCGTTTCTCAAAAACAAAATGGCCAGCAGCACCGTCAGCAACCACTGATTCTTCTTCTTTCTACGTCTTCCAGCTGGAGCTACAGCACCACCAAATTCAGTGTAAAAACACACAAGGTGCCCTCTAGAGCCAGAGTTTAGTTTGTCCATTCTGGGCTGCTGTAGAAACATGGCAGTGGCAGCTTATATGAAGGGCTCATCTTAAGATAACGACAACACAACGATTCATAATGACAGCTGATTATACACAAATGAAGCTTGGTTTTATTTACTATTTACTCCATTTCTGACCCCCCTAAATCTGACACACTGCACCTTTAATAAAATGATTTATAAATATGTGACGCGCCGTTTGAAGCCATCTCGGCCCCCAGGTTTTAGACCCCTGCTCTGAATCTGCTTTGGTTTATGGTATGATGGTTTAAGCCGAACTGACCCTGTGTCCTGTTTCTCTCTCTCTCCGCTCCTCAGTGATGTGGTGAAGAAGATCGATCAGTCGGAGTTCGAAGGCTTCGAGTACATCAACCCGCTGCTCATGTCTGCGGAGGAGTGTGTGTGAGACAGCACACACGGGCTGTCGGGGGTCTTCGGACCTCCTCGTCTCTTGCCAAACGTCTCTCACTGTCTGCCATACGAAACCACTCGTCCTTAACGCCTCTTCTACCTTTTCTCCTTTTTTTATTCTCCTCCTGTTTTCATAACACGCAGAGCTGCACTGATTGGAGGATATATTGACCGTTGCCTTCTCTGATTGGTCAGTGTGGGTCAGAGGGCGGGGTTTGGGTTACTGGACACTAAAGCAGAGCGATTAGCATGGGCTTACCTCTTGTGGCTACTTCCTGAGAAGACTTTTATTTGTACATATCTAAGGAAATCAATAGGTGTCTATAGTGAAGCCCTTTTTTAAAAACTACCAGAATTCTAAGGATGTTAAATGTTTTTCATAGAACGTCTCAGCGTCGTCCTCTAGAGCGCAGGTTAGCCTTTATTTTAAGATTTTCTTTTCTTTTTTAATTTAATTACGTTGTAGAGTATATATGGAATATCTACAGAGTTATCCGGGTAGATTTTGCGACAGGAAAATAAAAGAAATATGACCAATATGTGGAGCAGAGGAACACAAACAAACACTAACGCTAGAAACCTTCTTCTGACTGTGAACGGCTGCGTTTATGAGCTGAGAGGAGGTTTAGCTCAGAAAGTTGACCAAAAAGAGCCGTGAAGGAAACCTAAAAGCGTAGCTACATTACAGGCCTCTCTGTAGAAATCGAGCTGCCTCGTCGTTTGAGGACAGTACAGTTGCTGGGGGTGTTTTTATTTTCTCCCCTTTCTTAGCTTTAGATATTTTTCCCTGTTGAGTATGCATTGCCTTTCTGCCTCTTTGTTTAGTCTTTTTTTGTTTCTTTATGTTTTTGTAAGGTTACGGAACAAAATAAGAGCGGTGAACATGTACGCATTGTTTTTTTCTGTCCTGTTTGTGAGAATTATGTTTTTTTATTTTGGTTCTTTTTTTTCCTCCAAATCTCATCAAATAGCTAGGGTTTTATATATGACCTGCAGAAGTCTTAGTCCATCTGAGAAAATCAGATGTAAAGATATTTATCTGGGCAGTAAACATTTATTTACCTTTCTTTGTTCAAAGAAACGCTGAATAAATAACCGACCTCTACTGTTTCCAAAGCTGTAGCTCAGTATTAATTGTAGTTCTTCTCCAATACTCAGTTTGTCTAATCAATAATTGAATAAATTAACTCAGAATTGAACAAATCAAACCCAGCCTGTGTTGTTCCAACTGGACTCCTCCAGTCCACTTATTCATAACACATTCTGACTACTGACAACTGTATTTATGCTTATTTGTATTTATTATAATCAGTGTTGTCATCGTTCATATTGCATTATTTAAAACATCAGAACTCAGGCTGAAGCCCGGCTGCGGCGCGCTGATGCTCTGACACCACGTCTGTAGTCCTTTCATTCATATATGGCTTTTAAAGCTCTACTGACGATTCTCTTCATAAAACCTAAATTATTTGCAGCTCCTGCAGTGCCGCAAATTTGCTGAAAATCACCAAAGCACATCGAGCCTGGAGCGTCATTTTCAAGCCAAACTCAGCGCTGATGCTGCAGTATCAGTAATGGAACTATGAAAAAATCAATGAGCAGCAAACTAACAAAAGCAGCAGCAGCTTGGTGGAGCTTCGGTTCCCCTCAAGACCCTCCACTGTAACAAGAACCCACGAGCTGAATGAACGAGTGTGAGAGATACAATCATGGAGGAGCTGAAGCACTGACTGTATATATATGATATGTATGATATATACACTCATCGACTGTATATATGATATATACATGCTCATTGACTATATATGAGCTCATTGACTATATATGATATATACGTGCTCTGACTATATATCTACAATTATTGACTGTGTATATGATATAAATTATATAAATGCTCATTGATTGTAAATATGATATATGCAGTCATTGGTTAGGCTGAAGTTAGGATGATAAACCCCTCCTGATGTGGTTAATTTGGTTGTTTTGTCTGCTCGTACAGCTGTAGCTGCTTTCTAAATGGAGCAGATCTGTGTTTAGGCTCAAATCAGAGCAGATAAGATCAGCCACAGCTACACAGACTAACGTGGGGAATCATTTTGCAGCCCTGACTGGCGCTGTACAGTGTTTTACAGTCGCGCTTACTGCCCAGATAAACACTCTTAAACACTTTTCTCGGCTGCCTGAGACTCTGCAGTAGTGTGTGTGTCGATCCTGTGGTACTGCGGTTCTGGTGCAGCGTGAAATGGACCTCGGACACTAATGACCAAATACAGCACTCAAACGCGACATGTACGTACAGGTAGACACTCCTGCACGCCGCTACGCCTCCTCATCCAGCCCGGCAGATGTGGAGTCTGCTGTGTTCTGACAGATGTTGGTGAGGAGCCCATTAGCACCCTGGCGCAACAGACCATCCGACCGTTTACAGATCGTTACGCATTCCTCAGCAGCACCCTGACGCGCTCCCACACCCCGAGAGCTGGAGTGCGCCTCTCCTCTCTCTGTTCCCCTTTTCTGGAGTTGCGCTATTTAATGGAAACTCTGATTAAAGTAAGAACGCGATCACGAGGCCGTGTTCACTGAACACTACAACAAAAAAACACTTCTGTTACTTGATGAAGCATCTGTTCATGAAAAATGCGGTTTAAAATAAAAAGATTGATAATAATGAAAGACGTTTGCTATTCTTTTCTCACTGGTTGGTTGTTGGCAGTTCATCTACAGGGCCTTTTATTGGTTTTTGTGTGTAAAGCCTCAGTAATGAGCGTCCACACAGTTCATCTCTCCTCACAGTCACAACTGATGAGGTCTGTATTACAAATAATGACTGGCTGGTTCTCAGTTTACTACACTCACCTACACAGTTCAGTCAGTGTTTTTCATGTAGCACTAAAACAGCTATCACCTTTTGTTCAGTTAATAATTAATAAATAATTTTACTGTCATGTCATATAGAAATGCTTAAATTGTCAGCCTCACAAAAAACTCGTGTCTCTTAATTGGTAACTTCACTGGAGACAGAAAAGCATGCCAAGCTTTTAATGTGAGATGATATAAAGAGATTTTGTTCCATGTAAATTTGACCTGATGTAAAGAGCAGCTAGCATTATATATACATACATTTAACACACACACATTATATATATGTGTGTATGTGTGTATATACAGTACATTCTTGTGTATATATATGTGTATATATATATATTGTTCTTCAAGATTGATGGAGAACGTGATGTATATGGTTCTATATAGTACCAAAAAGGGTTCTGCTGTTTTATACAAGCTTCACATTGACACAATAGAATAACCCTTTACATTTTCCATCAGTCTGAAGGAACATTACCATGTAAAAAACATGAAATGGGTCTGTATAGAACCATTCCCTTTACTAAAGAACCCTTGAAGAACCATCTTTTTTAAGAATGCTTATACAGATGGATGGGTGGATAAAGAGTTTCAGTTCAAATGCTGTATATCCATTTTCACAGTTTTGCATATAGCATATTTTTAAAGTTTTAGGTTAGATTATTTAGAGTATTTCTCTAATTATTATTAATCGTATTAATAGTAAAACAGCACTAACATATCTTGTATCTTTTCTTGCATATCACAAATAAAAATTCCTGAAAGTTGTCTATAATGCATTTTGGAGCGAAGCCTTTTTGCTGTATATCTGTGTTATTGTGAGTCTTGCAGGCCTCACTGTAAACCACAACCTAGTCTGAGTGGGTTAAACTCTGTGTGTGATGAGGCAGTTTGTCAGACGCTGCAGTGTAAATCCCCGCTCAGTTCAGAGAATCAGCTCCGTTAAAGTTAATTATCTGAACAAAAGGGAGATTACAGCAGCCCAGCGCAGGAAAGGCCATAAAAAACGTCCTCTAACAGGGTCCCTGTGCTCTGATTGGCTAAGACGGCTCTGTCTGGAGGCAGCACACACACTGCAGACTAAACAAATGGCCCTGCCGCTGTAACTTGACCTTTACAGCTGTGTGAAAAGACTCGGGTCATGTGGCTGCTCAGAGCAGCAGGGGTGAAGAGGTCACAGCAGGAGCCGCTGAGGTCAGGAGGTCAGCCTGAATCTGCACTCTGAGCGAGAGTTTCTCTGAAGCTAAAAGCACACTGGACAAACAAAATGCACTGCTCTGTTTTCTGAATAATGAAATGGTCAGGATGTAAACTGAGAGGTTCAGAGCGGTTTGGTGTGGAACGCTCCGTTCTAGATAAACTTACCGAGTCAGAACTGTTCACAGTGGTGGTGATAGGAACCAGACGTCCACCTCTAAAAGCTCCCTCACAGAAAGTTCCTACATGAAATGGTTATGAATTCACTGCCTGATGACTGAGACACTGTTTTATGATAGTTTAGAGAACTTAAACTCCATTCATGGTGGAGGGATACATGCAGGGCGCTGTGAGGCAAAATAGTCCCCAAAGAAAACTTATTATTTCAGATTTTCCACTATTTTCCATCATCAACATTCCATATAAACTCAGAAGACTCGTGTAGGTTCACTGGTGGTTCTGGATAGTAAATAAAACGTCTATATCTGTGTTGTAGTCATGGCGACCCCTGGTTCCTATCACCACCACTGTAAAGACATCTGAACCATTTCACACCAAACCCGTCTGAGTTATGGGGGAATTTTGGAAAATAGGTGGAGTTTTCCTTAAAGATACAACACTACTAGAAACAGGGATCATGATATAAATATGATACAAAACTAGAAAACAGTGATCAGCTTAAGCGATTCCCAGGTGGTTGTGAGGGTGTTGCAATGTAAAAATTGCATTGTGATGCTGCAAATTTGGAATGTTAGATCAATTCTAATCAATTCTAATAATAATAATAAAGTATGCGCTTATTTTGGCAAAATTAAATTCTTAGACTGTTTTTGTACACAAAATTCCCGAAAAATACCTTTTCGTTTTCTTTTATTGTGTATGTATCTCTACTGTATAATCAGTTCCTCTGGCTATATTTGTGTGTTCTGTGTATTTTTAACAATTCTGAAAAGTAGCAAAATAACCGAATCAAATTGAAAAGCAGTGAAATGAATGAGAGATTTACACAGGATGTAAAAGTTATTAGATTATAATAAAAAGAGTGTAGAAAAAGAATATTATAATAATAAAAATGTTAAAAAATATATCACAAAGTGCTTTGCATGAAGATGAAAATGTACGACTTGTGTAAATAAAATAGAACAATATTCATCTGAAAAATAAAGGACATTAAACTAAATGAATATACTGGTTATATTCAGTGTATATACTAATCTAGTAAATGCTTCAAGGGTTCTTTAGTAAAGACAATGGTTCTATGTAGAACCATGAACACTCAAAGAATCCTTTGCATGATTAAAACATTCTCTGTATGGTGAAATTGTTCTTTAGATTGATGGAGCATTTGTTGTACATGGTTCTGTATGGCACCAAAAAGGGTTACAACCTTGACATCGTAACAATAACAGAATCCTTTTTGGTGCTATTTAGAACCATTTTCAAATAGAACCATTTACAGCACATTCTCCATCAATCTGAGGAACGATTTCCCCATGCAGAGAACGTTTTAAGCATGCAAAGGGCTCTTTGAGTGTTCATGGTTCTACATAGAGCCATTGTCTTTCCTAAAGAACCCTTGAAGAACCATGTTTTTTTAAGAGTGTAGCGTAAGTGGAGACCACCACATGAACCCATCACCTGGTTCATCACTGACTGAGTGTAGTGTGTGTAGGAGATGTGGGTGATGATGCCTACAGGCAGCAGATGGTGGGGACTCCTCTGTCTGTGCCCGGCTGGCGCTGCCAGGGCGCTCGTCCTCTCCTTCACTGACTTTCCCCATCCTGGCTAAACCCCTGAGGCCTGCTGGTGCGGTCACTTTGCCTCAGTGTCCTCTCCCCCACTGGACCAGGGCTCGTTCCCTCCAGAGGCCAAAACAAAGCGGCTCTCTGAAACAAAACACACCCAGCTTTAATTTGACCTGTAATTAATTGTGCAGTGAATTTTTATGTGATTTCATAAAATGAAATTCCAGTGTATAAAATTAACAGCTGTGCATTTAATATTTTAAATAACACAAATTATGGCGTTTCATTGGATTTACTATGAAAAGCTAACTTCCTCGACAGCCTCAAGGCTGAAGCCTTAGCATTAGCTGTAAAACACTAAGCTAGCGTATTTAGCTACAGTGCCCTCAGAAACAGTGGTGTAGCACCGCATCCTCAGCCTTACTGGTTTGACAGAATTCTTGATTTTGTGTTGTTTCCATGTTTATTTACATTATGCCAATATATCATATGACCACTGGGAACCCCTGTGGTGCCACCCAATCGTGACTGCTAGCCTAGCTGCTGAGCTATAGGCTAATAAATATGATTGTGCTAGCACCCTCATCTCAATCATCACTCAGAAATCAAAAATATCGTCGCTGTTGGGACAAAAACTTGTACCTCCATTTGTGTTTTTCCATTTTTACAGAATTTGAAAACGCACTGTGTGAAACGTTCATGATGAATAAACCTCCCCTGAAAGTAGCAGCAGCAGCATTTCCTCCCACTGCTGTACAGCTGAGATATGCGGTTCTGTTCCGACAGTGACGATATGTTGTAGATGCTGGGTATGCTGGTCAGCCATGCTGGATGACCAGCGTAAACCATTATAGACCAGCTTAGGCCAGCTTGGAGTTCATGCTGCTCTGTGCTGCTTTTTTCAGAGGAAAGCAGCCAGTCTGAGATGACCGATCTACACCTTGCTAACTTCAGCTGTGAGCTTGTTATCCTCCTCATCTGATGGGGCAGTTCTGTGGTCCATCCTCTCCACTGTAGTGAAGATACTGGGCTGCATCCAGCTTTTTCCTGCTGATCCTCCTCTCCTCTCCTCTCCTCTCCTCCATGACCCAATTGTGTGATTCCTAGTGATCTTACCGACTCCAAACACCTCCCAAACTAGCGTTCGCTACCCAGGAAGGCTTTTTAGACCGATTTTAGAGTGCCGTCACCGCAGACGCCCCCAGAGAGGGCTAGACTTTAAACTCTGTCTTCACTGGGTTTCTGTATTTATGTGTGCTGTGTATTTTGTACTTAGTGTACATTAAAATTAAAACATGCAGTAGAAAATCACACAAATATGAATCAGCAGGCTCTGTGTAGCAGCTGAGGCCGCTTTCAAGCCTTGTGATTGGCTCTTTCTGGCAATACTTAAATGTTAAAAATATATGAGCTCACAAAGTGCTGTGCATGAAGATTAGAACGTGTGACTTTGTAGATAAAAAAGGTCAATTTTAGCTTAAAAATAAAGGACATTAAATTAAATGTATATACTGAACTCTTTATAGTACACTCCTTAAAAAGGATGGTTCTTCAAGGGTTCTTTAGTAAAGAAAATGGTTCTATATAGAACCATGAACACTCAGGGAACCATTTACATGCTTAAATGGTTCTCTGCATGGTGAAATGGTTCCTCAGATTGATGGAGATTCTATATAGCACCGAAAAGGGTTACAAGCTTGACATCATAATAGAAGAACCCTTTTTTGTGCTATAGAGAACCATATACAACACAGTCTGTGTGTGCTGTGTATTCTGTACTTAGTGTAAATTAAAATAGAAACATGGAGTAGAAAATCATTCAAATGTGAATTAGCAGGCTCTGTGTAGCAGCTGAGGCCGCTTTCAAGCGTTGTGATTGG